TGTCAAGTCTGCTGGTAGCCTGATGGAATTTTCTTTATAAGTAATCTTTTTTCTCTGTCTGGATGCTTTCAGTACTTTCTCATTATCCTTGATTTTTGCTGTTTTAAATATTATATGTCTTGGTGTTGTCTTCCTAGGGTTCCTTTTGTTGGGTGATCTTTCTGCTTCCATGACCTGAGTGTCTATTTCCTTCACCAGGTTGGGGAAGTTTTTAAAAATCATTTGCTCAAAGAGACTTTCTATCCCTTTGTCCCTCTCTTCTTATTCTGGTACCCCTATAATGCAAATGTTGTTTCATTTGGATTGGTCACACAGCTTATTATTCTTTCATTCCTAGAGATCCTTTTTTCTCTCTGTTCCTCAGCTTCTTTGTTTTCCTGTTCTCTAATTTTCAGTTCATTTACCATCTCCTCTACCTCATCTAATCTACTTTAAAATCCCCCATTGTATATCTCATTTCAGATACTGTATTCTTCAGCTCTGAGTGGCATTTCATGAGGATTCATATCTCTTTTTTGAAGTCCTCCCTGAAATATTGACGACTTTTCTGTATATCCGTGAGCATGTTTATGACTTTTATTTTGAAATCTTTATTGGGAAAATTGGTGATTTCAGTTTCACTAAGCCCTCTTTCTGGTGTTTTTCTTGAATTTTTGTTTGGACCAAATTCCTCTGTCTCTTAATTTTTTTAGTGTTTCTCACGAGATAATAGATTTGTGTAGAGGCACCCTCTAGTGCCCAGAAGCTCAATTTCCTGTGCAGGAGCCTCAGCTGTTGGCGTGTAGTGGGTGTGGCACCAGCAAACAGGCTCTTCCTAGATTTCATACTGGGGAGAAGAGAGGAAGACCCTTCTCTGCCCCTCCCCCACATACTCTTATTATCTATTAACTAATTATTAGTTATCTATTACTGCAAAACATATTACCACAAACTTAGTGACTTAAAACCACACATGTTTATTATCTCAAAGTTCCTGTAGAGCAGGAATATGAACATGGCTCGGCTGGGACGTTTGCTTCACAATCTCTCACAAGCTGCAATCAAAACATCAGCTAGTGGTGAGGTCTCACCGCAAGGCTTGACTGGAGAAGGATCCTTTTCTTTGTTCACTTATTTTGCCAGTTTCAGTGCCTCAAGAGCTGTTGGATTAATGGCCTCCACTCCTCCCGTTTTGCTGCAGGCTACACTCAGTGGTCTTCTGCGACATGGCTCCTTGCTCCTCTTCTTTCCATGGGCCCTTGATGGCAGAATCATTCATGGGGATGCAATGTATGGGAAAGTGGAGAGGACTTCAATAAACACATCCATTTGGCACTTTCAAAACCTTATCCCTGTGAGACTCCTATAATCATGTACATGTTTAAATACATGGAATGAGTACTAGAATCAGAAAATGGAGCAGCAAGAGGTGGCATTTCAAAGGCAAGATACAGTGGTCTGTGTGAGAAGTCAGAGTTGTCAGAGATGGTGGCTTGGTTTTCCCAATGTGATCAGAGGTGGGTTGACAGGGAAAGTTTCTCTTAGAGGTTGCCTGTTTCCTTTTCAAGAGATTCCACTTGCATGTGTACCAACCAGGATCCAACAAGAAATAGATGATGGGCTCCTGCCAGTTAATACAGGAGCAGTTTCTAAAAGGGGCTCTTTGTAAAGGTGTGGACAGAGTTAAGGGCTGATGCAGCAGCTCAGAGCTAGTAACATTGGAGAGCTGAAGGAGAAGGCGGTGACATGTACCCAGAGAAAGTGGCTGTGTGGAACAGGCTGGGGCTCTGATTAAGAGAGCAGCCACGCATGGCAACCAGGTAGAGTAAAACCCCAGATTTTCTCTTTTCCTGTCCTCCATCTCCCACCAGTGCTCCCTCTGGCCAACCCCAAACAGAATCTAGAGGGCGTAGAGCCCATCAATATGATCCATACAGGCTGATCTCCTGAGACATAGAGCAAAATGGAGAAGGGAGGACCTATTAGGACATATAAGATATAGCACATTAAGTACACTCCATATTTTATGGGAAAATCCCATGGTGGCAGCCCCAATCCCAGTGTTTAGCTTGCTCTTTCTTTCTAGTTCATTGAAGAACAAAGTCAGACTATTGATTTGGGATGTTACCTTCTTTTTTAATGTAAGCACTTACAGTTATGAATTTCCCTCTGAGCACTGTTTTTGATGCATCCCCTTCATTTTGATGTTATGTTTTCACTTTCGTTCATCTCAAAGCATTTTCCAGCCTAGTTGTCATTTTTTTTCTTTGATCTTATTGTTTAGAGTGTGTTGTTTAATTTCTGTATATCTGTGGACAGTCCAGCTTTCCTTCTGTCACTCACTTCTCATTTCACTCCATTGTGGTCGGAAAAGATACTTTGGGTGATTGTGACCCAAATCCAGTGTTTAAGTAGACAAAATCGAACTGCTAAACCACAATGAGATACCACTTCACATCTAATAAGATGACTACATAATTTTTAATTTTTTTAAAATGGGAAATAACAAGTGTTGGCAAGGATGACAAGAAATTGGAATCCTCATCCACTCTTGATGGAAATATAAAATGGTGCAGTCACTATAGAAAATAATTTGGTGATTCTTCAAAAAATTAAACAGAGAATTACTCTGTGATCCAGCAATTCTATTCCAAGGGATTGAAAACAGAAACTCAATATAGATATTTACACACAAATGTGCACAGCAGCACCATTCACAATAGCCAAAAGATGGAAACAGCCCAAGTGTCCATCAAAAAATGGACAGGTAAACAAAATGTGGTACACCCATACAATGGAATATTACTCAGACATAAAAAGGAATGAATCCTGCCACCAAAATTTTTCTCAGCCTAGTCCCTCAACTAGCATTCCTACAACTCTATTATTCCCCATTATACCCATCAATATGTTATCTGTCAAGTATGGCTCAGCTCAAATGTTTCCCTTATTAAAAGTCCTAGGCTTTTCCCCTAACAAATACCCTCACTATCCTCTGTACTCCCCTATATCATACCAAATGCAATACTCATATATATCCTCACTTATATATACCTCTTACTTCCCTTATCTAGACTACAAGTTAAAAGACGCAGGGGAAGATACGTTATTCCCGTGCATGTCTCTTAAATGATCAAACCCAATACCTTGAATGTAAGAATATTCAATAAACTTTGATTAAATTAACTATAAAAAAAAGGGATGAAGTTCTGACACATGCTACAACACAGATAAACCTTCAAAACATTATGCTAGCTGAAATAATCCAGACCAGAGAAAAGGATAAATATTATATTATTCCACTTATATGAAATATCTAGAATAGGCAAATTCATGTGGCAGAAAGTAGATTAGAAGTTACCAGGGACTGGGAGGAGTGGGGAATGATGAGTCATTGCTTAATGGGTACAGAGGTTCAGTCTGAGATGATTTTTTAAAGTTTTGGAAATAGCGGTGATGGTTGTACAAAAATGCGAAGGTAATTAATGCCACTTAATCACACACTTAAAGTGGTTAAATAGTGGAAATTCATCTCATGCTATAGCAAACGGTTAACCTTTATCCTTCCTCTTGAAGATTAAAATGGCAATAATTTGAAATTGAGTTTTCAAAAAGATGAAAGAACTTGTGAAAATTAATTAAGGGGAACCTCGCTGACATGGTGTTGGGAGGCCAGCAAGGGAGACCACCATGCCCACCACTCCTCATCAGTTGCAGACCCCAGGGGAAGAGTCTGACACCTTGCAAGCTTTTAGCCACTTTACTACCTAGCAGGAGAAAGGAAGGTTGCTGCTTCCCAGAAACAGCCCAACCAATGACAGAATATCACAGCTCAGCCAATGAGAGGCCGCAATGTGTGGAACTCCCAGTTCCCTCCAATGAACTTTTTCCTTAGAACAGCCCAACCCTCCCTTTCCTCTATAAAAGAGCCTTCCTCTCCTTTCTGGCCCAGACTTGCCTATGACTTTGCTGTAGGTTGTATGTTGTGAATTGCACTTCCCTGCTGTTTCTGAATAAACTCATTTTTTCTGCTAAAATAACTGAAAGCTTTATTTTTAAAATTAACAAACTTCAGTCGGCTTACTGCCATTTCCAATAGGAATAAGACAAACTAAAAATGTTAACAGTTGTTACCCATTCATTCAAGCAACAAATATTTGTCAGCTGCATCCAAGATACCAGGCACCATGCATTGCACTGGAAATGCTGCAGAGAACAAAACAGACGGGTGGTTTGTAGGCTTTCCAATGTAGCGGAAGGAGACAAATAATAAGGACCGTTTTAGTTAGTGATAAATATGTGGGAAAAAAAATACAGTCTCAAGAGATTGAGAAAACAAGCCACAGACTGGGAGATAATCCTGCAAACGACACATCTGACAAAGGATTCTTTTCCAGAATACATAAGGAACTTGTAAAACTCAACAATAAGAAACTTCTCTTAAAGGTAAAAATAAAAAATTTCATGTTATATGTATTTGCCACAATAATTTTTTTTACTTACCCTGCTTTTTTTCCCTCCCATTATATACCAAAGAAATAAGGAGTCTAAGGGGAGGCCAGAGGGAGGATAATTATGAAAACCACTGCATTTAAATGTGAGCTTTGGACAGAAAAATAACATGCACCCTTGGCTTGGGGTCAAACAGGGCGCACCCCACCTCCCCACCGACCTGAAAAAAAGACATGAGTGAGGGGTGCTAGACCAGGCCAGTCCTTGCTCACCGCCGATGAAATCATCTCTCTCCCCTACCTGCTAAGGCTGGGTGCGGTTGGTGGCGCCCTCCATTGGTTGCCATCTTGCACTGCAGGCCATGTTGCTTCCCACTAAGTCAAGGAAGACAAGGGGAAAAAAGTAGCTCTGTGGAGTCTGTGCTGGGTCTCAAGTCACTGTTAATTGCCTCCACCAAGCTATTTCATTTGAGGTCATAAAAATGGCCCCTGGTTTCCAGGTAGGGCAACCGAGTGCCGGGTGGGGCACACGTATATGAAAAGGGTAGAGCACGAATGTAGAACAAAAGTTTACCTAAAAACTCCGAAGCTAAGCTTGGGCCAGGGCCTCCTCAGAGCCGCTCTCACCTCCTTGTTGCGCAGTGTACACCACGGGGTTCAGCAGCGGCATCACCACCGTGTAGAACACGGCCACCAGCCGGTCCTGCTGGGGTTTTCCTCTGGACTCGGGCCGCAGGTAGATGATGGATGCACAGCCAAAATGCACAACGACCACAGTGAGATGAGCCGCGCAGGTGGAGAAGGCCTTGTGCCTGCCCGCTGCCAAGGGGATCCTCACGACGGTGGCTATGATGGCGGTGTAGGAAAGGAGGATGAGGAGGAAGGAGCAGATGAACCAGCATGTTAGGGATGGTGACCAGCGTGTAGCAGGTCTCAGAGAGGGACAGCGTGGCCAGGAAGTGGTACATGGGAATGTGCAGGCTCTGATCCACATGGATGACGGTGACGATGGTGAAGTTGCCGCTGAGGGTGACCAGGTAGGTGAGAAAGAATAGCACAAAGAGGATGGTCCTCAGGTCTGGAAGACTGGAGAAGCCCACCAGCATGAACTCTGTCACCAACCAGGTGGCATTTTCCCACTGCTTCTCAGAGCCTGAGCAGAAAGGACAGAGTAAACAGAATAGAACAACTTCATAAGGCTGTGCTCTGCACCGGGTACCAGGGAGGTAGGATAACATCTCTGTTTTACGAAAAAAGGAAAAAGACACTCGGAAATATATCCCTTGTTTTCCTAACGTCACTCCAGCATGTTTGTCTCTTCAGTAGACATGAAAATCACAGATATGGAAACAACCTGAGTGCCCATCAGCAGATGAATGGATAAAGGACATGTGGCATGTATATACGATGGAATATTATTCAGCCATGAGAAAGAAGGAAATACTGCCATTTCAACAGCCAGGATGAATCTTGAGGACATTATGCTAAGTGAGAGAAGCCGGACAGAGAAAGACAAATACTGTATGATCTCATGTACATGTGGACGCTAAAAGAGCTAAACTTGTATAAAGAGAGAGAGAGAGAGAGAGAGAGAGAGAGAGAGAGAGAGAGTAAAATGGTGGTGACCAGGGGGTGGGGCTGGGAAAATAGAGATTATTTAAGGGTACCACCTGGCAGCTCCTAGATAAATAAGTCCTGAATGTCTCATGTGCAGTATAGTGAATATAGATGATAGTATTGTGTATTATAATCACCAGACTTGTTTAGGCCCAAGATATTAATTATTCCCCATACACACAAAAGAAATATGATAATCACACAATTTGACAGAGGTGCTAACCATCCCTACAGTGGCAATCACATCACAATATATAAAGGCAGCAAGTCAACACAGTTGTACACCTTAAACTTATACAATGTTCTAGGTCAAGCACGTTTCAATTTTTAAAAAGAAAAAGAAAAGAAAATCACAGGAACCTGTAAAGACTAATACTAGGGATGGGGAGAAGAAGCAGATCTTGAGGCAAAGATTAAAGAGCAATGTTTATCTGGGACGTCAGCCCCAAAAACATGGGTGGAGGAGACGGGAAGCCAGACAGGGGACAGAGACAGGCAGTGAAAGTTGTGTTATCAAGGAAATCACCACTGAAGGCAGCTAGAATGTAATCCTCCTTGGGGAGTCCTGAGGGGCTGTGAGGAAACTGGGGTGTTTATCCACTAATCCCAGTGGGTCATTGCTTCAGAGTGTCTACCAGGAAGCATTATCTCCCAGCACCTCTGACCTGCCACGTGTACCAGGAATTCAAAGTGTGCCTGGGGAGAAAGTAAATAATAAGGACAAGGAGGATGGGCCAGGAATTTACAGGGTCCACTACAGTCCATGTGAAAAGGGTACCCCAAAAAGACAGCCTATAGCAATATCTGAAATCAATCAAATAACCCTTTCAGGAACCTTAATACCCAGAGCTACATTAGGACTTGCAGGAGCCCTAAGCATTTGTCTTCCCCCATAAAATGTTTTAGGATTTTATTTAAATAAATAGATTTGATTTATTTATATGACTAATAAGGTGTAAATTCAATTTACTTAAATAAACTTAACTTAAACCAAAAGTTAATTTTTTTAAATGTGATTTATGAATGTATTAATCAAATTTCTAAAAAAATTGAGATGTACATTTTATTTACTGATATTTATTTAAATATTAGGCAATTTAACATTTTCCTGTTTTAGGACTTGTGGGTGTAAAGATGCATATAATCTTCAGCCCTGAAAGTTCATTTATTTCCTCTGGTCTTATAACACAATTTCATGGGTGGAGCTTGGGATTGTGCTAATGGATACATCTGCCTAATTAATTGGAAAGCAACTCTGAAATATGACCATTTTAATTCAAATGAGGAGGCTTCAGTAGAAAATCTGCATTGAGGATAGTTTTATCATTTTATAATCAACCTGCAAGCTCAGAAAAAAAAATCTACATTGGAAATGTTTGCACTTTTTTGGGACAAGGGACTTTGTTTTAAGGAAAATGTTCTTAATGCAATGCTTCCTTGCTTATCAAGAGTAAATTGGCTGAAAAAACTAATTCCGTCTTAAGTTCCTTAACCACCTATAGAGAAAAAGGAGGGTGGCCGGGTATGGAGAGGCCTGATTTGTGCGCCATCTGCTGGCATTTGGAGTTATCTGCAAGCCAATGACCCTCAATAGGAAAAAAAGTAGTTGCGCGTTTGAAAAATTCTCATCCAAATAAGGAGCAGAAATTGAGAATGATCATTTAAAAATTTTGGAAGTTTGCTGTAATTTTAATTTTGGAAAAATAAATGTTAGAAATCAGTTCTGAAAACACATAAAGCAGAGAAAAATAACAAAAAATGTGCTTCATGGAATCTTCCAGTTATAAACATGGAATCTCTGTTTATAAAAAAAAGACAAGTCAGGACTACCGGAGAGTGTTAAGTGAAAAAGCAGGAAGCAGGCAGCCATGTTGGTCAGCCTCAGAGGTACACACTTTTTCCTAAAGATAAAGAGCCAGACAGTGAATATTTTAGGTTGTGGGAGCTGTGGAGTCATTGTCGTAACTGCTTGACTCTGCCATTCCAGTGTGAAAGCAGCTATAGACAATGCACAAGCAAGTGTGTATAGTTGTATTTCAATAAAACTTTATTTACAAAAGTAGGCAGGAGGTCAGATTTGGCTCTCAGACTGTAGTTGTCCAACCCCTGAACTAGAACAATTAAAACTAAAAGAATATTCCATTTAGGGAAACTCCACTGAGGTCCTCTGAGGGATTCATGCTATGAAAAAAAGCCAAGCCTGACTTGAAATATTCAGAAACTTAAGCAAAAATGAAACTCCCAAACCAAGAATCTCAGACTCCCCTTTAAACATCTTGACCTAAGACAAAGTATACTGGGTAGAGATGTCCAGAGCATTTGTCCAAAAGAGGCCCTTTATTGAAAATTAAACAATATCAGGGAGAATATCAGAGCCTTTAGATAGTGAGAATGACAGAAACTCAATCACTGAGAAGATTCCATAGAGAAAAAAGTCATTGGATATGACCGTTTAAAAAGTAAAATTTAATCATGCAAAACATGATTAAGTTGAAAAACCGTTATAGGCAAATCACGAACTAGAAAAGGTTATGGTCCTAAAAAAAAAAATCTTTGGCTCTTACAAATCATTAAGAAGAAAATGAAAACTTCCAGTTATAAAATAAATAAGACCTGGGGATGTAATGTACAGCATGCTGACACCAGTTGATAACATTGCACTGCATGTCTGCAGTTGTAAGAGGAGATTTTAAAAGTTCTCAGGGCAAGACAAGAAATTTTTTGACTTTGCGAGGTCATGGATATTAACCAGCCTTATTGTGGTAATCGTGCTGTGGTATATGCTAATATGGAATCATTATGTTGTACACCCGAAACCAATCAGTGTTAACTGTCAATTATATCTGGATTTTAAAAAGAAGAAAAAAACACCCAGGCCCACCCAGCCCCCATACTTGTAGAGTTCAAATGAAAGCCCACATAACCGTATGACTGAATATTTAAAGTTAAGAAATAGTTCAGTGAAACATGTTCTAAGTCCTTAGACTGAGAAACGTAATGACCTGGGAAGCCAGATTTGAATTTAGAGTTCCTGGATGATTTAGAGTGGCGCCCTGGAACGCGGTGGTGTGTGGCGTGTCCTGGCCCTGTCCCCTTCCCCCACCCAGGCTCCACACAGCACTTCCAGCAGCCTCACATATACACATATGGACACCCCAACGATGCAAGTTCAAGTTGTAGCTACACCACCACCAGCAGCCACTCCTTGGCCAGAACTTAACCCCAGCAGCAGGTCCAAGTTTGAGGGATGCACCCAGGGAAGGGTCCCCATAGTGATTTAAACACACCTGTGTGAGGAATTCTGGGATCTTGTAGGGCTGCTACTTGCATGCTTCTGGCGATGGGGAGGTCACTACCTGACCCAAATAGCCATCACATAGAGCAGAACTCCTGCACTCAGACAATCCTTCAGTGACCTGCCAGGCCAGCGAGGCTGAGCTCTGGAATCAGACAAGCTTGAATTTGAATGTTGGTGGCTTCACTAACCAGGGGCAGTATGACCCAGGGCAGCTCTCTTTGCCCCTCTGAGCCTCGCGTGTGAAAGCAGAGACTGATCCTGTGAGCTTACAGATAACAGCAAGATTCCCTGAACCGTGCAGTGAACCCCTTGGTCGCGGATTCCTTGCAAGGACAGCTGCTTGGGTTATTATCTTTGGCTTTGCACTGCCGAGGAAGAGGAGCATAGAGGGATTAATCTCATATTCTTGCAGTTGTGCTGACAGGGTTTGAAGCAGGAGTCCGTGTTTGGAGGCTGGGTCTCAAGGGCTGGATATTCTGCTGCTCACCTTTCATCCTACACGTTTTCGCTGAGCGTCTGTTCAGTGCCGGGCACTGCTCGGCACACAGCAGGGAGCTAAATGGGAGGCGGAGATCCCAGCCTTGAGGGAGCAGAAGATTCTAGAGAAGGGAGTCAGGCAAAAAGCGGCAGGTGTGATAACTAAGCCAGACTGTTTCTTAGAAATAAGTAATACAGAAAATGGGAAAGCAGAGTACTAGAGGGAAGTGGAGGGGTCTGAAGACAGTTGTGGCCTTACATGGTCAGGAGGCTTAATGCTGTCTCTCTGCGATTTCTGGCTTGTCCTCCCTCATTTCCAGATCCCAGGGTGCTTGAAAGACCCCAAATTTGCAGTTGGAAGAGATTAGGAAATCAGGAGGATATCTGGGAGAGAGCATCCAGGTAAAGGCAACAGTCAGTGCAAAGGCCCTGGGGCAGGATTGTGCCTGAAACATTGAGGAGGAACAGAGGGATAAAGAGGAGTAAGAGGGTGAGAGGAGGTGAGGGCAGGGAGGTGACAGCAGCATTTTGCCAGGATCCTGTGGGTCACAGAGAGGACTTTGGCTTTTATGCTGAGTGAAGTGGATTCTGAGCAGAACACGGATGTGACCCGTGCACCCTGACGTGCCCCTCTGGCTGCTGCAGGAGAGCAGTGGAGGGAAACGGGTGGAAGCCGGGATACGGAGGAGAAGGTGGCTGAGCCCGTCTAAGTGAGCAGTGATGGGCGCTACACCAGGGTGGGTCCACGAAGGTGGTGGGGGTGGCCAGCTGGGGACAGGCTGTGCAGATGGAGCCCAGCCTTTCCAGACAGCGTAGACGTGGGTGTGAGAGAAAGAGCAGGAGGTCGGTGCCAGCCGAGTGCATCAGGCGGGCAAGGTGGGACCAGTCCAGCCGGGAGGCAGAGGGGACTCTGCTCCTCCCTGGCAGTGCCCAGGCGCCGCACAGCAAGCAGCGCAGCCTCCTGCGGACCGTTAGCCCTTCTCGCCCCAGCCCTCGGCACCCACGCAGCACGGAGGAAGAAGAAACAAGGATAGCCTGAATGTGGCTGAAATGTAACTCCGCAACAGCAGAGGAGCTGTAACGGGGAGTGTGGGGCAACGTGTCCCGATTCTGCTTTCCGGTGGTGACAGGTGAGAGTCCTGGGCAGAAGGAAACCGGGTCGCAGGGTGATGAGCTTCCTGATTTGCATACCTGACCCCTTGAAAATCAGTCACACGCATAGAGAGATCCCGAGGAACTAGCAGGAGCCAGGGGGTGCTGATTCTGGGGCCCCGGCCGATGCCACCCTCTTGGTGATGGTGAGGGACTAGAAATGCATGGGCCTGAGATCTGGAGTCTCTCCTTTTCCCCTCTCTGCTCATCAGAAAGCTGCCACCCCAAAACAGGAGCCCCTTCCCCACCACCTTTGAACCCTCACCTCTACATGACCCTTTGGGGGTGTGTGCCCATGAAGCTCCAGGGTGCGTGTGTGTATCTGCTGCTTGTAGGGCGCACACACACGCATGTCACACCCATGTGTTGAGACTGCACCTGAACACCTCCATCTCCCGCCATGTGTGCTGGGGATCTGTGCACGGATTTTGTGTGCAGGTGAGCATGTGTGATTCTGGGGGCCCCGCTCTCCCTTCCTGGGTAGGTATCTTCTCCCGGGCACCACATCCCATCGTCTGCAGAAAACAGAACTGAACCCCCATCGGGCAAACCACCTTCCAAGCCTGGCCCTTTCGGCTGTTTTCAGGTCAATGCTCAGTCAGCTCTGCCATTTCTCTTCCCTGCCCCGACTCATTTTCAGATAACTCCCCTAAACTGGGACGTGCCAGAGTGGCTTCTCCAGCCCAGCAGAAACTCCGGATCCACACTCACCATAGCCGAGGGAGGTTGCCCCTGTGCCTGCCCGCATCTCCCTCTGCCCACCACCTGAGACAGAAGGGGCTGAGGGCCCGGGTTATACAAGGGAGTCCCTGGAGCTGCTGTCCCAGGGGCCCCCAGCCACTAACGAGGCCCCCAGGGCTCAGGCTGGTGACATCCTGAGAAATTTTCCCCCTCCTGGAAACTCAAAACCCTGGGGTCCATTTCTCAGCACCACCCCCAGCTCTGATGGCAAACAATAGGGAAAGACTAAGTGTGATTTCTTTTTGTGGATGGTGCTCCCCAACACCAGTCAGTGCCCACCACATGCAGGGCAAGGCTGCTGCCGCTGGGAAGATGCACCCCCAGCCCTGCCCTCAAGCAGCAGCAGAAGAAATGGATACTTGTTAAACAAATGTTGCCCAGGCTTAACTTCTCCTACTGACACCAGCCCCCTCAGTCCCTCTCCTGCTTTCCCCCAAATTTAGTCCCCAAACCTCTATCCTCTCTTCTCAGCTGCCCCCAGCCCCTCAGCCCCGCCCCAACGCAAACCACATCATTCTTACCTGTTGTAAAAGCCCGTCGTGTCCCCTTCCTCCAGTCCGTCCTCTGCACTGGCCGCAGAACAGCAGACCCTGTCTGTGTTCCTTTTCTGCTCAGAGACCTGCCATGACTCCCCAGTGCCCTCAGAGTAAGTTTCAAATCATCTTTAAGACCCTTGTGATCTGGCCCCTGCTCCCTCCTCTAGTTTCAAATCCAGCATTTGCCCCACGAAAACTGGAACGTCCATTTATGAAATCAACATGAAGGAAGTGGAGTGCAGACCAGCCTCTCCAAGTAGCTGACCCTTCCCCTGGGATTCCCATGCTGTTTCACGCCAGTGTGCCCCTCCCACACCGTTCCCTCAGGAATTTCCTAGCCTCTTGGCAAACTTCTATTCTTCCTGAAAGGCACATCCTTATCATTACCTCCTCCAGGAAGTCTTCCCTGGTTGCTCCAGGCTAGTCACATGCAGCGTCTGTGTTCCCGGAGTTCCTGGATTTCCTCTCATATTTTGTGTCCTTGTGTATCTTCCCCAGCCTATGAGCTCCCCAGGACTGTGCTCAACCTCTTCCACCTCCCAGATGACAAATTTCCTCTTTGCAATGCCCGCCTCTTTTCTTTTTTCTTTTGATATCATTAATGTACAATTACTTGAACAACATTATGGTTACTAGACTCCCCCTATTATCAAGTCCCCCCTACATATCCCATTATAATCACTGTCCATCAGCGTAGTGAGACACTATAGAATCATTATTTGTCTTCTCTGTATATACTGCCTTCCCCGTGTGTCGTCCCCCCCCACTACATTATGTGCGCTAATCGTAACGCCCCCTTTCCTCCCCTTGTCCCTCCCTCCCTTCCCACCCATCCTCCCCAGTCCCTTTCCCTTTGGTAACTGTTAGTCCATTCTTGGGGTCTGAGTCTGCTGCTGTTTTGTTCCTTTAGTTTCTGCTTTGTTCTTATGCTCCACACACGAGTGAAATCATTTGGTATTTGTCTTTTTCCGCCTGGCTTATCTCACTGAGCATGATACCCTCTAGCTCCATCCATGTTGTTGCAAATGGTAGGATTTGTTTTCTTCTTATGGCTGAACAATATTCCATTGTGTATATGCTCCACATCTTCCTTATCCATTCATCTACTGCGGGACACTTAGGTTGCTTCCATTTCTTGGCTACTGTAAATAGTGCTGTGATAAACACAGGGGTGCATGTCTTTTTCAAACTGGGCTGCTGCATTCTTAGGGTACCACCTCTTTTCTTTTCTTGGTACCTAATTTTTCCCCACCTCCTTAGCCACTCCTTCTTAATCTCTTCCTCTCACAAATCCTAAAATTAGAATTCCCCAGGGTTCAGTCCTAGACTCTCTTCTCTCTCCCTGAGAAATACATATTTTAAAAAATTTCCTCAGCTTTATTGAGAGAAAATGACATTTAACAGTGTGTAGGTTTAAGGTGTTCATTTGATATATTTATGTATCACAACGTGGTTACCACCATAGCATTGGCTGTCACCTCTGCCCCATCATATAACTACCTTCTCTTTTTGGTGGTAAGAACATTTAAGATCTACTCTCTTAGCAACTTTTGAGTATAGAAATACAGTATCGCTAACTATAATCACCATGCTGTACATTAGGTCCCTAGAACTTGTTAGTCTTATAAGTGGAAGTTTGTATCCTTTGACCAACTTCTTCCCATTTCCCCTGCCCCAAACCCTGGTAACCACTATTCTACTGTTTCTCTGAGTTCAGCTTTTTTAAATTCCACAAATAAATGATATTTTTCTTTCTCCATCTGACTTATTCCACTTCGTGTAACGTCCTCAAGGTTCATCCGAGTTACCGCAAATGGCAAGATGTCCTTCTTCCTCGTCGCTGAATAATATTCCATACTGTATGCACTCCACATTTTCTTTATCCACTCATCCACTGATGGACACTTAGGTTGGTTCCATATCTTGGCTACTGAGAATAATGAAACAATGAACACGCGGGAGTCCTAGCTCAGAAATTTGACCTCGTGAGTTCCATTTCATGACTGCAAGTTTAGCTCATGATTTTGCATGCCCGCTCTATACAAACCGCCCCTGTTATGTTTTAGGGTCCCCAGAAGCAGACTCTGAGACAAGGACTCGAGTGAATGTTTATTTGGGAGGTGACCCCAGATATCACCAGCAGGGGAATAGAGAGATGGGAAGCAAAGATCAAGCACGTTCTCCCTGTGGCAACTCGGGTGCATTCCCACTGGGAGCCCCTGGTGAGCAGCCTAGGAGAGGTGGCTGAGGTACACAGACACCAACTCCAGTTGGTCATGTTTGAGGGTTAATCCAGGGGGCATTGATTCCCCAGTACTCTTGGCCTGCTGTACACGTGGATAGAGTAAGCTTTCGTGGCCAGAGAAAGCCCTCAAAGAGACACAAGCACCGGCTGTTGGAAGGCACCCTGATGTGCACTTAAGTGATCAGAACAAGGACACTGACATCACCTGCTACGCCTGGTTTTCCCCTTCGTCTCTGACCCTCTTTCCTGACTCCAATATTGAAGCTGTCCAGGGGTTCAGTCTGACTTTCTTCTCTCTGTCTAGCTGATCACTTCAATCAGACGGTGTTAAATACCTTATCCATGCCAATACTTCTCAAATTGATATCCTAGACCACTCATTCCCTCTGAACACCAGACCCATAAATCCAACATCAGAAATTTTGGAGTGATGACCTCCCAAAATTCTCTCATCCACAAAGAGAAAACTGGAATGAGATCATGGTCTGGGAACTAGATAGTGGCTGTGACGGCACACGCTTGTGAGAATACACAACCATCCATTGCATTAAACACTTTAAAATGGTGAACTTTATAGTATATTTATTAGAACTCAATTTAAAAATCAATCAGGATAAGCTATCATCTTAACACCCTAAAGAAGAAAAACGATATAATCATAGTGGACACAGAAAAGGCACTTGACAAAATCCAACATTTGTTCATGAAAAAATATATACATATATACTGTCAGCAAATTAAATATGAGGTTTCCATAACTTGATGTTCTGCTTCTACAAAAAACCTACAGCTACCATTCTCTTTAATGGTGAAAGCTTGAATGTTTTCCCGTAAGGAGTAGAACAAGCCAAGGACGCCTCCTCCACCACTTTCACTCAGTAGCACACCGAGGTCCTACCCCCGTGCAGCGTGGCACGTGTTCCAGGATATGACCCCAAAAGCACAACCCAAAAAAGAAAAAAATCCTGATAGACAAAATGTAGCCAAAGGCCGGAAGGTGGAGTGACTAGGCATTTGCTGCTTCCACAGAATCCCTGCTTCTGCAAGCCTGATTGCCCCTGAATTTATCCCAGCCCCAGTCCCAGAGCAGAGACTGATCGCTTTAAGAAATGAGCGCCGCCCACGTCCCTCTGCCGTGGTGATGAGGTAGAGCGCTGGTGCTCCAAAGCAAGTTTTCCCCCAACTCACAACTGGCCACGTCTGGAGGCATTTTTGTCAAGTGGAGGAGGCGCTGCTTGCAGCTAGTAGGTGGAGGCCAGGGATGCAGATAAACACCCTCCAATGTACAGGACAGCCCCCCACAGCAAAGAATGATCTGGTCTCACATGTCATTAGTGTCAACATTGAGGAACTAGGTTAGAGGATGTGTACATGACCCAACTGGGGTCAATACAAAAATCAACCTCAACACTAGAAGCTTCTCAATTCTGTAGAAAGTGCAATATGATCTTTGCACCTATTTCGCTAACACCGAGGGAGGCTGGAGCTGGAGGGGTGGGAAGAGAAGTGGGGTACCACACCGAACCTGAAGATAAAACTGATGCAGAGGTGAAGAGAAACTCAGCCTTTGTGGACCTCATGTGAACCACTAGATCAAATCTCCCTGAAGCATTTTAGTTACATGAGTTAATTATTTCTTGTGTTCGTTTGTTTAAGCCAGTTGGGTGGATTTTTGCATCACTTGCAACCATGAGCACCCCAACTGACAGGGGGAGTCAGTGAACAATTAAATCCCATCCTCCTTGCCTGGAGGACCCCAGTGTAAACACAGCCTTGTCTTGGGGCACGATCTGTCATGACATAGAAACCCAGCCAAGCTGGTATATCTAAAGGAGTATTTATTACATGAACAAAGCGTCCCCAGAACCAACGGGAGGTGAGATTCGTGCAGAACCGGCATCAGGCACTTAGAAGGCAATTAGTAAATACCTGTTGTCAGTATAGTGAATGCTCATTTAACAGGCATTGCTACTCCATCTGGAACTGAGATATTCCCTCCAACTCTCTCGAGCTATTTGAGCACTCATTTCTGATGCTTCCTGCGTATGAAATTCTTCTGCTCTGTTTGCCCCTTTGTACCCACCATCTCATATTTCTTAGTCTGCTGGTGACCTTAAAATCTCCACCAACTAACAGAGGGCGTTCTTAGCATGTTCATTAAGCAATCTTCTTGGGCGAGAGAATCTGACTGGCTCATCTTAAGTCAGGTGACCACCCCTGATCCAATCAGAGGCATCATCTGCCCAATGAGGAAGCATGGGCAGGGCAGGCAGGCTACGTGTGCTTATCTCAAGACCGGAGCTCAGGTTAGCCTTGGAGAGACAGTAGGCCCACCACTGTCACCACCCCGGCACCCTCCTTAGCTAAACACAAAGCAGTGACAGAATGTTAACTATGCCTTTATTAGGTGGTGAGAGGAGTGGGGGCTGTACAATGCCAGGCCTGGGAATGTAGCTACACAGAAGCCATATAACAAAAACAGCCTAAAAATAGTTCTATTCTGCCATAGGGCTGGGCCAGGGGGGGTGACAGGAGGAGGAGGGGGTGCTGCCCAGGCAGCTCCTTGCCTTTCTGCAGTCCCGTATTTACAGGGGGAGAAAGGGAAATAAACACATCTGCCCTGGTTCCCACCGAAGTCCCTTCCCAAATGGAAGCAGCCCAGGCTCTAGGGTGGAAGGCTGGCCTAGGGGTGGGCTCTCTGGGCGAGGGGGGCCATCCCCCCAGCAAAGCTATAGGACAAGTTCCATCTGGAATGCAGTGAAGTGAGGGAGTGGGTGTGGGGAGAAGGATCCCAAGTCTTGCCCAACCCCTGGCCCCAGAGAGAGCGCCCGAGGGTGCCTACGTGGTACACACCAGGGCCGTGTACTCAGTACACAGAATCCTGGTCATGCCTGTGTACTCGGTACACAGAATGCAGCTTGGCCGAGTGGGCCCACAGACTTGGCCCCACAGGGGCACCGGGAGATTCACAGGGGCAGGGAGGGAGTGTCTCCATATATATATTTTGTAAAAAATAATAATAATGTTTGCTTAAATGAATTTGTTTCTATACAAAATGTAAAAAAAAAAAAAAAAAAAAAAAAACGGAAAATAATAATAATCCACCATGTCAGAGCATGAGGCCAAAGGAGGCAAGAAAAGGAGGGAATAGAGAACTGAGGGAGGGGACGGTCCCAGACTCACCGCAAGACCGAGAGGCGGGGATCAGCCCGCACCCCCTATAAATAAAGGAAGACTGAAACCCTACGCCGGTGACCCCTCTGGGCCACACACCACAGGGAGTCAGGGGCGGGGGGCAAGAGGGCTGGTGGGGAGTCTGGACGGGGTGTCTTCTCAGTCCCCCCAAAGCCAAGAACTAGGGAGCCCTCAAGCCAGCACCTGCCTCTTGGGGGTGACTTCCGGCTGGGACCCCAGCTGGGTTTGGGCCTGAGCAAGGGGACCAGGGATGGCCAGGGGGAGCGGCCGGGCAGGCAGCGCCCCGGCAGCCGTGGCCGTGGCCCCGGGGGCGGCGGCCGGGCTGGGTGTGGAGTCGGACCAGTCGGAGAGGGAGGGCGGCGACGGGCTGGCCCACTGCTCCGGGGGCTCAGGAGAGGGGGTCAGGTACGGGTGCTCGCTGGGCACCCGCAGGAAACGGGCCTTGGGGGGGCTGCCGTGAGCCCCGGCTGCCGGGTACTCCTCAGCATGTCCCGGGGCTGCCAGGTACGGTGGGGGCCGCTCCTGGGGGGACACGGGGGTCCCGGCGTTCAGCAGCTGGGGTCCCGGTGCCAAGGGCAGCAGGAACGAGGGCCCCGGCGGGGCAGGTGGGGGGAGCCGGGCCCAGTCGAGGGGAACGGCCACAGGATTCAGCAAGCCCAGGCTGAGCACACAGCCCCCGGGGGGCTGACGCCCTAGACCTGCCCTACCTGGGCCACCAAACTGTGCCAGAGACACCGTGGTGGCAGTGGCTGCCGTGTAGGGCCCCTCAAGGGCAAAGCCACTAGGGGACGCAGGAGGCCCACCAAAGGGCCGCGGGGAGTCCAGCGAGTCCACAGGGGACAGCGTGACCGAGCTCTCAGCCAGCGGGCCCGGGCAGGCCAGCGTTAGCTTCTTGCCCCGTCCCCGGGCACCCTGCGGCCCCAAACCCGCCTTCCCTGGTGGCCTCCGGCTCTTCTTGCCCCCCGACTGTGCCACCTTGAGGCCAGGGAGGAAGGCTCCAGGCGGGCAGAGCATGGGCCCCAGGCCATGGGGGCCGGGGGGGCTGCGGGGCCCACTGGGCTGGTCCAGCAAGTGCACGATGTCTTGGTGCAGCCGCTCCTGGGCCACATCCCGCGGCAGCCTGTCCAGGTGGTCCGTGATCTCGCGGTTGGCAAAGTGGTCCAGCAGCAGTTTGGCGGCCTCGTAGCTGCCCTCCCGGGCGGCCAGGAACAGGGGTGTCTCCTCCTGGGGGGCCCCAAAGCCCACAGCATGTCAGGGTCACAACACCCAGGATTAACTCCCGGCTGGCATCACCACAGCCTCCTGCCTCTGGCGGAAACTAAGAGCTAAGAGTTCCTACTCTCTAGCCCGATGGACCTCAGTTCGAATCCCAGCTCTGCTGATGGAACCTGGGTGGGTTCTTCCCCTTAAACCACAACCATCCAGAACCTCGTAAACACCAGGCCCCAGAGACAAGATGAAGGTGAGGAAAGGCACTCACCTTAGGCACAAAAGTAAAGAGGCGTCAAAAACATCAGTCATTAAAATAAATGATATTCAAATGCAATTTTTTTAAATTAAAATATAAAATATAAAATAAAATATAAAAATTTCAAAGAAGGACAGAATCCACCCCTGCACCCCTCTGAGCTTCACTCTTCCCATCAGTAAAGTGAAGAGAGAGTAATTCCACTTTGCAAGAGTTTTTAAATGATCGTTACAGTTGCCCCTTATGGAGGATCTGCTAAGCATGAGCTTACTGAATCTTCAGGAGATGAAATGAAGTACGTACTTTTCCTTCCCTACTTCACTATGAGGACAGTGAGGTTCAGATGAGTCAAGCAACTTGCCGAAGGTCACACAGCAGCTGCCATACACTTCCTCCTCTGATCCACTGTTGGAGCCTCTTGGGCCCAAATCTCACCCCTGAAACCCAGCTGCAGGCAGAGTGAATGTCCCCACTAGCCTACCCTACCCTGCTCTCTACCATGCCCAGGAGGCTGTGCCAGAGCTGATGCCCAGGTGGGTCAAGGGCTAGGGCTCACCTTGCTGTCCTGCATGTCCTTGTTGGCTCCATTTTTGAGCAAGGCCAAGGTGGCCTCCACATTGTTGACGGCCGCTGCCCAATGCAAGGCTGATTTCCCTGGGGGGAGAGGGGAGAGGTCAGGGTCTGGACCAGGCTCATTTGCTGGCCTCCCTTGGCAGGGGGACAGGAAGTGTCTAGAATAGGGCCCAGTGGGGGTGCAGTGGGGTGGAGGGAAATGCCTGCCATGGGTATCTGAGCACCTGTGTTTGGATCTATATGTGTGCAGACCTGTGGAATGACTCCCTCTGTCCAAGGGAGACACTCCATGTGTGAGCAGATCTATAGATATAACTAACTCTCCATACATGGGGTACCATGTGGGCCTCATTCCACTGCACCTAGACCTGTGCAGTAGCCACCAGTCACATGTGGCTCAGACCTGTGCTGTTCAATGTGGTAGCCACCAGTCACATGTGGCTCTTTCCATTTAAATTAATTAAAATTAAATAAAATAGGTGCCAAGATCATTCAATGCTGAAAGATGGCTTTCTCAACAAATGGTCAACTGGATCTTCACAATCAAAAGAATGAAGTTGGACTCTATCTCACACTGTTCAAAAAAGAACCCAAAAGGAATCAAAGACCTAAATGTAAGAGCTCAAACTATAAAACATTTAGGAACACATAGGAATAAATCTTCATGACCTTGAGTTAGGCACAGAATTCTTAGATATGATACCAAAAACACAAACAATAACAACAGAAATAGATACACTAGATATCATCAAAATTAAAACTTTTGTGGTTCTAAAGACACCATCAAGAAAATGAAAGTAAAACCTACAAAATGGGGGAAATATTTATAAGCCATATATCTGATAAGAGACCTACCTAGTGTATATAAAGAACTCTTATAACTCACTATAGCTTATAACCATTATAACTCACAATAATAAAAAAGACAAGTATTAAGAAATAGGCAAAAGATCTGAATAGACATTTCTCCAAAGAAGATATACAAGTGGCCAAGAAGCACATGAAAAGATGCTCAACATCATTAGCCATCAGGGAAATGAAAATCAAAACTACAGTGAGACACCAATTCATACCTACTAGGAGAGCTAAAACAAAAAGATATACATAAGTGTTGATGAGGATGTGGAGATACTGGAACTCTCATGCACTGGTGGTAGGAATGTAAAATAGGGCAGGCTCTGTTGAAAACAGTGTGGCGGTTCCTCAAAAGGCTAACATGGAATTACCATATGACCCAGCAATTCCACTCCCAGGGATATACCAAAGAGAAATTAAAACATATGTCCACGCAAAAACTTATACAGGAAAGTTCATAGCAGCATTATTCATAATAGCCAAAAAGCTGAAACAACTCAAATGTCCATCAACAGATGAACAAGTAAACAATATGTATATCCATACAATGGGATATTATTTAGTCATTAAAAAATAAAATTACTGATACATGCTACAACATTGAAGAACCTTAAAAACATCATGCAGAGTGAAAGTAGTCAGTCAAAAAAGACTGCATAGCATATGATTCCATCTATATGAAATATTCAGAATAGGCAAATCCATAGAAAGTGCATTCTAGTGCTGGGAAGATAAGGGGGTTGGAGGGTGAGAGCTCAGAGTAAGAGCTTTTTTGGGTGACAAACATGTTCTAAAATTTATCGTGATGATAGTTGCATGACACATGGTTATACTAAAAGCCATTGCATTTTATATTTTAAATGCTGAGATGTATGGAACGGGAATTATACCTAAACAAAGCTTTGACAAAATAAAAGCAGGCAAAACAAAGTTTTAAAAATTAAATGACATAAATATTTAGTTCTTCACTCACCCAGCCACAATTTCAAGTGCTCAGTGGCCACCATGCTGCTCAGCATGCACCAAGAATATCTCCAACATCCCAGATAGTTCTGCTGGACAGTGATCCTTTAGAACCACAGCTCTAAACTGAGGGTGAGTCACCTCCAGGGGCATTTGGCAACAGCTGAGGGTATTTTTGGTTGCCACAGCTGGGGAGTGGGGTGCTCCAGGCATCTTACTAGATGGCTGAGGATCCTGCTTAACAGCCTACACTTCACAGGACAGCCCCCAGCGCAATGGATGATCCAACCCCGAGCATCAGTGACGCTGCGGTTGAGAACACCTTCCTCAAAGGGTGCTTCTGAGCTTCTGAGCACGGGGTCCTCTGACATGAGGGCAGGTTACTGTGAATCTGCACTGATCAGCTTCTGTGCATACAAAGCCACCCCCACAGAGGGACCTGTTGTCACAGGGATTTGGCCTTTTGCAAATTTACTGTACCAGTTGCCCAGCAGATGGAAGCAGAGTAAGTTCTAACAAAGCTGACCGGAAAGCAGTGTCTTGGGAAGGGTGCCTTTTTCTAAATCATTGTGGTGCCATAGAGGCTGGTGGGTGCCATAAAAACAAATGCATGAGAATGTCAGTCCACGTGGAAGCCCTGTTACACACGAGCTCCATGATTAGGTCTCTGTGTAGGTGCGACATGATACCAGCAAGGTAGTTGGGGCCCAGGTAACACCCGCTCAGCCCCCACCCGCCACCACTCCCACAGCCTACCAAGCTCATCCACAGCATTGACATCAGCATGGCTGGCGATGAGCTCTTCCACCATGCCCTCCACCGCCAGGCGGGCCGCCAGGATCAGTGCTGTTGAGCCATCCGCCATGCGGGCATCCAGGTCTGTGGAGCGGTTCCGGATGAGAATCTAGAGGAGAAGCGTTGTGTGGCTGAGGGTGGGGGTATTTATGGCAGGAACAGGGGAACGAGAAGCACCTCTAGTCTCCCTGAGGTCCCCAACCTCCACATTCCTTCAAATCCATGAGGTTCAGGAAGCAGCTACTTCCTGGGCACTGTACTCTCATATATCCCCATTTTACAAATGAGAAAAACAAGCTCAAAAAGACAGAACCAGGGCTCAAACCCAGGTCTGTCTGATGCTCGTCCCAGCTCTGAAATCCGAAGGGGCCCATCTCACCTGGAAGACACCCTGGGCATCAGCGGTGACAGCCGTGTGCAGGGGGGTGCGGCCGGAGTGATCCTGGGCGTTAGTGTCCGCCCCAGCATCCAGCAGCCGCTTGGCTGCATCAGCCCGGGCATAGCGGGCAGCCAGGTGCAGCGCTGTCTCGCCTGTGCGGTCAGTCCTCGCCCCGAGCTGGGCGCCCTGGCAGATCAGGTCTGAGATGATGCTGGCTGACGTGTCTTCCACCTCATCCTCCTCAGCTGGCATTGGCTCCAGGGCCCCTCCGCAGAAGGAGGCCAGCATTAGCGGAGTAAAGCCGTCTAGAGGGACCAGGAGTGTGTCACAAGGGAGGTGGTCACACGGGACTTTCTAGGGGACACTATTAAAGGCGCCATATCAGGAGGATGTGGGTAACACAGGAGCACGAGAGGGTGTGGTTGGACGCATGTGCATCCCTGGCTGGACGCATGTGCATGTGCACATGTCTGTGTCAGGTGCCCCAGAAGCCAAGCCAGGATGAGGATTCTCAGGCAGGTGATGTGTCACAAAAGAGCTTCTAAAACAGTAGGGGACACAGGACAAGAGAGAGAGAGAGAGAGAGAGAGAGAGACAGAGAGAGAGAGAGAGAGAGAGAGAGAGAGAAGAAGAAGCAAGCATGCAACCTCCAGAGGGACCCTGTCAGCCTGACCCTGAAGGGGGACTCTAGAGGCAGAGCTGGACCTCAGAGTTGCAAGCCAGCTTCCAGCAAAGGAACTGTGTCTTTCCTACTCCCACACCTACTGGTTAAGGGCCACTGCACGGGACATAAACTCCCCGGTAGCCTGAGGAACTTCAAAATAAATCATTCATTTTGCAGGGGCGGATCATTTGGAGCAAAGGCAAAACGCAGCTTGGAGCAAGAACACCCTGAAATCTGGCAAAGAGGGACCCAGCAGGATCCAGATGACGTGGTCTGCCACACTCTGTGTGAGCATTTGCCTTGGCCTCACGTAGGGTGCCACTCGGGGCTCCATTCTCCAGCCTCAAGCCCTGGGCAGAGCTGACCCCAGTCCCGGGTTCAAGGACAGGCATGTGACACTAGCCCAGTCAACGTGCATGTGACAGCCCCAGATCAAACTGATTGGTTCAGGGATGACATGTGACCCTATTCCATCCAACCAGAACTCATCCTGGGACTTTTGTTGGTATGACTGGTAAAAAGGTTTTGTGAGGCTGGTCAGGCATGTGGCCATCATGCACCCAGGAGAAAGCCTGCCTGAGGTGTAGCTCAGAGGTGGTGTGTCTTGGATCCAAATATGCCCGATGCTTCCAATTACAAGAGCTGGAAAACCCCTTGTTTTACTTAAGCTAGTTTGAGTTGGGCTATTATCCCTTACAACCGAGAGTCCAAATTAAACACCCCCCACCCCAGCCACAGATGGATACCTGGACAGTCAGCTGTCCCCAGAACACAGACCTAGATGCAACCCCTCATGAGAAGGACAGGTAAGGGGAAGGTGCCCTCACTGACCTGGGCCACGCACGTTGACATCCATGCCATCAGCATCCACGTCACCCTGCGGCGGCGTCAACGCCATGGCTGGTGCCACACGGATGTCCGCAGCAACCAAGTGGTGTTGAGTCCACTGGCGGCAATCCACAGCATCCTCAGCCCCAATGCTGGGCTCCTCTACCTGGGGGTGCAAGAGCCCAGGTTCCCACGGGAGTGGGGAGAGAGTCAGAGGAGATAGTCTGGGCATGCCCACAGGCTTCCTTCCCGGACACACAGCCCTAAGAAGTCATGAACATCTGCTTCTCTTACAGATAAGAAAATAAGAAAGGGATGACAAGGGATTTTAATCTGGGTTGGAAGTGGGGAGGGGCTGGGAACTCAAAGTGAGTGGTCACAGAAGAGACACAGAGAACAGCACCTGTAGGCACACACCTGTCTCTACACTAGACAAGAACACACCAAAACTGAAATTAAGAGAACAATCCCCTTGACAACAGCATCAAGAAGAATAAAATGTTTAGAAAGAAATGTAAAACTTGTAGTTCAGAACCTATGAATCACTGGAAAAAGAAATGTGGGGCATGAGGTGTCCAAGGATCAATTTTAACATGGGAAAGGGGTGAATGGGAGGGAAGGAGAAAGGTGGGGGATGCCCTGGATCCCACATGGGGCTCCAGCCTGGCAAGTTGAACATGAACATCAAGTATCAGGACCAAATAGTTGCACACAAAGGTAGCAATTTACCTGCTACATTCACAGCACCTGGGCCCCTAGGAGGAGCCTGATAAATTTCAGACTTACAGATGGGAGTCGTGAATGACATTATGGAAACAGGGCAGAACATTTCCAGCGAGCCTGTCAGGGCATTTAAGAGCCTTCAGGGACCAAGCATGAAGTCTGATCAAGCCGGACCTGAGCTCAGGGACCCAGGTGGGGAGTTGAAGTTCATGAGACGGGAAAGCCAGGTGATGTACAGCTAACCAGAAAGGGTTAGGGAGGATGTGATAGCATCCTGCGCAGGTTCAAGATCTGACGCTGTCACTTAGTAGCATGTGACTCTGGGCGAATCACATTAGAGCTCCGAGCCTCTCCTTAGCAAAAGAATGACACCGTCATTTTGCAGTGCTGTCAGAGACATACTGCCCTGTCTTCTTAATACCCACTTCTGGATGAGAAAGAAAAACAATGCCTGGTGTGAACAGGTTTCTTTAGTTGTCAGTCATAATAGATGTCTCTGTTTCACAAACATTAAAATATAGGCAGGGATAGTAAGCATAATGTTCTTCATGTAATTGTAGATTAATGATACCAAAATTAAAAAAAATAAATATATATAAGCAGGGAAAGGCAGCTGAGAAGGGAGGTGTATGTCAGTAGCTAATATATAGGGTTTTCATAAAGATGAAATAAGATGCTTTGTCCACATTCAAGATACTTGGCAAGTGTCAAAGTCAAAGTCATGCTAGCAGGAGCTCATTATCAATGTTGTCCCCAGAAGTCGTATGTTGAAGCCCTAAGCCCCGACACGACTATATTTGGAAAGGGGGCCTTTAAAGAGGTAATTCAGGTTAACTGAGGTCCTAAGGGTGGAGCCCTGACCCCACAGGGCTGGACCAGAGCTCAGCCTCTCTCTCTGCACACACACTGAGGAAAGGCCGTGTGAGGACACAGTGAGAAGGCGGCCATCTGCAAGGCAGGAAGGGAGGCCTCACCGGGAGCCAACCCTGCCAGCACCTTGATCTTGAACTTCCAGCATCCGGAACTGTGAGAAAATACATGCCCGTTGTTGAAGACCCTCAGTCTATGGTATTTTGTTATGCAGCCTGAGCTAAGAGAGCCCAGGGGTGTGGCCTGGGAGAGGAAATGCCGCTTGGAGCCATCTGGGAGCACATGTCTGGGCACATTGGACAAAATGGGGCCCAGCAGAGAGAAAGCTGAGTTGCTCTCTGGGCCAGGGATCCCCTCTGCTAAGACCCCAGGCTGGCCTGGGAGCAGGGGCTTGGTTCGAGGGGCAGGATGGGAAGGTGTGAGGACTATTCTCCAGAGCTTGGGACAGCAGACTTTCCCACTGGCCACCGGGGCCCCTACCCAGGACCCTGGGGGCAGGGCACAGAGGAGGGGGCACAACCTTCAGTCGCTTGGCCTCTGGGCACTCTGTGTCCATCCAGTCTGTGGCCACCTCCCCCATCAGACTCTCGCCCTTGGCCATGTTCCTGTGGGGACAATGAGAAGGGGAAAGGAGACAATGTAGACGGGCAATCTGGGGGAGGATTCAGGGTGAGGTTAGAGCAGAAGTCCCAGAAGCAAGATCAAGGTCTGGAGTTGGGATCCAGGGTCCTGGGTCAGTAAGCACAGAAGGCAGGATCAAGATACAGAGTATAGTGAGGGGGCATAGGAAGGGGTCAAGGTCACAAAGGGGACAGTCAGGGGCAACGGTGGTTGATGGTCTTTAGGTAGAATCGGGGAAGGGACAAAAGTGGGGTCAGGGGTCAGAGCAGTAGACTGTAAGACGAGGGTCACAGGCACAGAGCAGGGGCTGTAGAGGATGAGGTCAGGGGTCGTGGAGGATGGAGTCAACAGGTGAGAGGTGCAGCCAGGATCAAGTACATGTTGTTCAGGGGTCAGAAGTCATGGGGTCATGTGACAGGGGTAAGCTCAGAGGTAGGCCAAGGTGGGGTTGGGGTTCTTGAGGGATAGATCAGGGTGTTAGAGGTGAGGGCCCAGGACAAGGCTGGACTGAGGATCATGGAGAAATAAACACTGCACGGGGTAGGGGTGGGGGGTGTCAGAGGTGAGGTCAAAGGTCAGGAGGGTTAGAGCCAGAGGTGGTACTGGGGTCAGAGAACAGGGTTAGTGATCAGTGAGGGGAGGAGGCACACAGAGAGGTGAGGAGGTCAGCAGTCACATGGGAATGAATTTTGAGCGTCAGAGTGAAGACTGAGAAGCCAGAGTCAGGGTGGGGTCAGAGCGGGATCTAAGTCAGGCAAATTGGGACACAATGGGGCCAAGGGTCACAAATCAGGGGTGATCCCCAGGGGTCATGGAGTCAGGGGTCAAGGAATGAACACTGGGGTCAGAGGTCAGAGTCAGGTCACAAGCCTCCCACCCTCCGGGTAGGGGGCCGGATAGGGTCCTCACTTCATGCCCAGCGCGTCCTGGCCCACAGGCTCCCGCCGGCCCTTGTGGCCAGTGGCCACGTCCTTGTGCAGCGAGAAGCCCTCGGGGAACCAAAGGGTGCTGTGCTCGCGCTTGCGCCGGGCCACCATGACGCCCAGCACCAGGACGACCAGCAGGAAGACGGCGCTCGCCGCCAACAGCGGCAGCAGCGGCAGGCTCGGCTCCGGCGGCTCCAGCGGCTCCCCTGCGGGCAGGATGGAGGGGCTTCAGCCCCGGGCCGAGGCGCCCGCCCACCGCGGGAGCCCAGGGGCCGCTCGGGTGGCCCGTTGGGCCAGTCCTCACCGCGCGCTGCCCGCAGCGGGTACGGGAAGTCCAGGCGCTCCACGGCCGACAGCGCCCCCAGGTAGTCGGCGGCGCTCTGGGCGTCGCGGAAGCAGTGGCCATTCTCCGGCGACTGCAGGCACAGGCGGTTGTCGATCTCCAGCATCACCACGGAGCTGCGGGGAGCCGGGGCAGGCCAGTCGGGCTCAGCGGGCCTCTGGGGCAAGCCCAGAGCCAGGCTCACCACCTCACGGCCCACGCGCCCCCATCTGGTAGCCAGCCCCACCACACCCCCCAGAGCAGTCTTGCTGTGGCCACCAGCGTCCCCACAGCCGTGAGTCGGACGGGCATCATTCACCTCCCTAGGGCATGCCGTTGGTGCACACCCAGATCTCCATTACCTGGCTGGTGGGTCTGTCTCCCAACACCAGGAACACTGGCTTCTAACACCTGATAGCTGCCCCTTCTCCAGGGAACTGGCCTCGGCAAAGTGGGGTCCCCTCACTTGGGAGGTGACACCCCTTAGGGCAGACCTCTGCCAGTGACTGGCTGGTACAGGTGGACACAAGCTGGCCCTCCTGGCTCCAGGTGCAACTGACTCTGAGATGCCCTTCACACTCCTGTCCTCTCTGTGGGATCAGCTGGGGCCCCTTTCTGCCTCAGTTGCCCCTTCCTGCTTTCCCCAACCCCTCTCCCCTGAGAGCACCCCTTCCAGACACCACGTGGATCTGAATGCCTATCTCAGGCTCTGCTTCGAGAAGCCCAGCCCTCCGAAACTCCCTCCCTCCCCCGAGAGCTCTAGTACCCAGTCCTCCTCTCTCTCTCTCTGGCTCCTTCTCTTTTTTGAGATAGTTTCCTTCAATGAATCCTTAGGTCCCAATGTCCCCAGGCCAGTCTTCTGTCCCCACTTCTGAGTCCTATTCATGGCTTCAGTGATCATTAACATCCTTCTGTCTTTCTTGTCTATGTCTTCAGCCTCCAGCCTCCTCCTGCACGGGCCTCCATGATGCCCCCAGACTCCTCAGACTCTGTGAGCCCAAAGGGACCCATTTTTCACCCTGTGTCCTCACCTCAGTCACCACACTCGGGGGAGGGCACACCCCGACCTTCCTCCCCACCTCAGGCCCACCCAGTCAGAGCCCCCGCCCCCCACCATCTCTAGAATCCAGCCTTCCTTTCCGTGTCAGGGCCCCACGCTCCTCAGAGACCACACCTCCCTTGTGAAGCCTCTATCAGGCCACGGGCAGGAGAGTTCTGTATCCTCCATATATAATAGAAGTGTCATATGTTGAAGCCCTAAGCCTCCGCATGCCTATATTTGGGGAGGGGGCCTTTAAGGAGGTAATTAAGGTTCACTGAGGTCGTAAGGGTAGAGCCTTGATCCCATAGGACTGGGAAGCGACACTAGGGCTCAGCTTCTCTCTCTGTGCACACACAGAGAAAAAGGCCAGGTGGGGACATGGAGGGAAGGCGGCCATCGGCAAGGCAGAAAGAGAGCCCTCACCAGGAGCCAACCCTGCCAGCACCTTGACCTTGGACTTCCACCTAAGAACATGTCCTAAACCATTCTGCTAGACCTCTGCCTCTGCAGAAGAAAGGAGCAGTAGACCAGGGGGCAATTCTGTTCCGCAAAGCACCCTTGCCCCTGTCCAGAGGCATTATTGGTTGTTCCATCCTAAGGGAGGGGGTGCTACTTGCACCTAGTGGGTAGAGGCCAGGGCATGAGGCCACCCACATCAGAGAATGATTCAGCCCTGAGTGTCAACAGTGCCAAGGCTGAGACAGTGGGATGTATTGCTCTCCCAACATTTAAGGGAAGTGATGCATGAGACTAGCTCAGCACCTGTGAGGCCCCACAGTTCCCCAGGGGTGTAGCCACTCACCCAATCACCTCTGGTGCCAGCTCCCGCCGGTTCCGGGATTCAGAGCCAGGGCCGGGCCGGTGGTAAGGGAAGACCATGGCCTGGCCGTGCTCGTCCAGACGGAAGCGCAGCGAGGTCCGCAGAATGCCACTGAGCCGCTGTAGGAAGTCGGCACTGGAGCGCAGCAGCTCCTCAGGGGGCACCAGCACAGTGAGCACCAGCACGCCCCGGGCCAGCAGGGCCGGCACCTCACCCGCACAGTCCAGCCCATCCCAGCCACACTCCTCCGTGTTGCAGCCCTGGTCACAGCGGCCATCGGCAAAGTGGTCTGCACAGTACTTCTCGTACACTGGGCTGGGGGCAAAGAGAGATGCGTCAGGGGGCCTCCAACTCCCTTGCACACATGCCACAGAGCACCCGGATGCCAGAGACCGAGAAGGCAGACAGAGGACTCAGATGTATCCAGCATGTGTCAGGCTTTCTGAAAATCCATTCATTCCCTCCATAATTAACAAGTCAGTAAGTATTGGCTTGGCGTCTGCTATGTGCTGAACGCTGCTGCACGGCCTGAGGATGTGGCCCCAGCCAAATCCACATGGAACAGGCATTCCAGCGGGCAGAAACAGACTTTAAAGGAGATGAATGAACAAAATATACAGCATTTCAATTTCATGTCGGTAAAAGCTAAATGTAAACATGTACACACATGTACACACACACACACACACACACACACACACACACACACACAGTTCTATATGGAATTAAATGTTCCAGAGAAAAATAAAGCAGAAGTGCTGGGGGTAGCCAGGGAGGAGCTCACTGAGAAAGTGAGGCTACCTAAGCTAAGACAAAGGAGGTGAGGGAGGGCCATGTGCTTCCCTCAGGAAGCATAGTCCATGCAGAGAGGACAGCCAGGGCATAGGTCCTGAGGCGTCCAAACCTGGGTGCCAGGGTGGCTGGAGCAGAGTGAGTGAGTGAGGGCGAGAGTGCAGGGTGGGGAAGAAGATGGGGAGATAAAGGTAAGAGACAGACAAAAGGGCAGAGCACAAGGATGGACAGATGGAATGCATGGGACAGACAGGCAGGGCTCAGGAATGGACACAAAGAGGGCCAAAGAAGGGCAGGGATAGACAGGGGCAGGAACAGACAGATGGACACACCGGCGAAAAGGGCGAGTGGATGGACAGAAGGACCGACAGCCGAGGCACATGGATGAGCAGGTGAGGCACAAAGATGTACAGGTGGGTGGATAGACTGGCATACAGATAGACAGATGGGTGGACAGATATGGTTCAAAGCTGGACAAGAAGGGGTGTAAACAGTTGGATGCACTGGGGGACGAAAGGAATTCATGGATGGACAGAAAGACAGACAAACAGGACACAGAGAGGGGCAGATGGGGTGCATAGGCAGACAGAAAGGCCCACAGATGATCTGGCGTGGTGCCGGGACAAACGGGCACGAGAAAGGATGGACAGGTAGGTAGGCGGAGGCTGGACCCCGCGGATGGTCGGGAGTGGTAAGGGGACAGAATAGACAGACGCTCGCTCGGGCGCAGGGACGCGCGTATGGGCGAGGGGCTCACTTGCAGGCGCGCTCGCGGCCGCCCGCGCGGCAGTCGAAGTTGTCGTAGAGGCAGGCGGGCGAGCTGCAGGCCGGGTCACAGCGGCTGTTGTTGAAGAGGCGCCAGCACTGCAGCGCCGCGCACTGCCGCCAGGGGTCGCCCACGGTCAGCGAGCAGTCGCCTCCGTCCCAGCCGCAGCCTGGGCTGTTGCACTCGCGGTCGCAGCGCTTGTCCCCGCTCTTGGCCTCGCAGGCGGCGCTCGGGCACAGCTGCTCCTCTGGGGCCTCAGGCACCGCGGCCGACACCTCGCAGCGCGTCCCGGCCCAGCCCGGCGCGCACACGCAGCGGAAGAAGGGCGCTAGGGCCGCGGGGCTGCAGGTGCCCCCGTGGAGGCAGGGAGAGGCCACGCAGCTGGCGTTCGTGGCGACCCCTGGCGGCGGCGCACCCCGCGAGCCCCGGCAGGAAGGCCCCGACAACCCCGGGGGGCAGGCGCAGCGCGGCCCACGGACCGTCTGCTGGCACGCGACGCCCCCCGGACACTGCAGCTCCCGGCAGGAGCGCGCCACCCGCTCGCAAAGCGAGCCCCAGAAGGGCTAGGGGTTGGTTTGGGGAAGGGAAGTGGGGAGAGGGAAATGAAAGGGCGGAGAAGAGAATCAGAGGGTCCACGGGGGAGAGAGGGAGGATGAGGGTCAGGACTTGCGACCGGTGGAGCCTCCAGTTTCCCTAGGTCTGGCCCAACTTGCCCACTTCCACCAGAGGCCCCACCTTGCAGATAAGCCCGGCCTTCCCCAGGAGGCCACGCTTCCAAACCTCACCTCGCACACACCCAACTCCAGGTAATTCCAGCCATTTCCCGGGAACCCCCTTCCATTTCACCTTTTCTCCCCTTCAGCCACGTCCTCCCACAGGCCACCCTGCCACTCTTCTGCCAGAGACCCTGAGGTGACCAACCACCCCCACCTACCGGGACGCATTGGCATGTGAAGGTCAGCATGGCCCCAGGGCCCGGGCCAGGACTGCACTGGCCTCCGTGCTGGCATGGCTGGGACTCACAGGGAGACAGGACAGTCTGACAGCGGGGACCTGGGCAAGCAAAAGCTGGTAGGTCAGCCTCACTAGGGGAATCCAGGCAGGGTCCAAGGCCAGCCCCCTCGCCCACACTGACCTGTGAAGCCGGCTCTGCAGAGGCAGCGGAAGCTCCCACCCGGGGCCTGCAGGCAGTCCCGGGTGTGTGCCCCATGGCAGGCACCCGGGTGACATTCATTGATGTCTGCCTCACAGCGCAGCCCAGTGTATCCAGGGGGACAGGTGCAACGGAAGCCACCCACCAGGTCCACACAGGTACCATTGTGCAGGCACCGGGGGCCTGGGTCCAGGGGCAGGCCTGCACCACAGTCATCCTCATTAATCTCACAGAGCACTCCTGGAGGTAGGGAGGATGGCTGAGCAGTCAGGAGGCATCAGAGACCCAGCCTCCCATCCCGTCCCCCAACCCTGGCCCTGGCATACCCAGCGTGCCAGGGGGGCAGGAGCAGAGATAGCGGGCCACGAGGTCAATGCAGATGCCTCCGTGCTGGCAGGGCTGGGAGGCGCATTCGTCCACATCATCCTCACAGTTGTCGCCGGCATAACCAGCTGGACACTGCGGGCAGGTGAGACAGGGACCCACTCAACACAGAGGGACACAGATACTCCCCATGAAGACATGGTGAATCCCAGCCTAAAAAGATACAGGCAGCTTTCCAACCCACAGAAACATGCCCAGCATGCAGAAACACACACACCACCAGATATGGAGGGCTGCAGGATACACCCAGTGCAGAGGGACACACACACACATAATAAATGCACGGGACAGACACACAGGAGAAACACCCAGATGCACCCAGGACACAAACAACCAGAGACACACATTCGGACATGAGCACATGCATTCATACTCAAAGATACGGAGATACATCCAGGCACAGACACATACCCAGACAGACAAACACCCTCAAATTTACCGAGAGTGATAACCACAAAGGTATACCCAGGGTCACAGAAGTAAAAACCTAGACATGCCTGGAAAGACACCAAGCCACAGACTCACAGAGATGTGTGCCCAGTCACAGCCAGGTGTGACTAGTGCCCCTGTCCCCTCCTCTGGGCACTCCTCCCCTTACCTCACACACGTAACCACCCATGTAGCCTTGGCAGGTGCCCCCATGCTGGCAGGGCTGGGCCAAGCAGGGGTCCAGCTCCTGCTCACAGTGGCTGCCTGTGCGGCCCTCTGGGCACACGCAATAGTGGGAGCTGTCCTTGTCCACACACTGCCCGCCAGCCTGACACAGCCGCTCTGGCCGCACCCCTGCAGAGGAGAGCTCCATCAGACACACATTACCCCGTCCCTGCCTGCATCAGACACACATCACCCAACGTCCCTGCTGGCACTGGTCGCCAGGGTCTCACCCTCTATTGGGTTGTCACATATGCCCCCAAACTGGCAAGGTCTCAGTCACCAATACATACGCACAGCATCACGGACATCCTTCCAGCAACTTCATGGTGAGAGACGCATACACCATCCTGACCTTCATGGCTGTCACTTAACCACACATCCACACACACTCAGTCACACACACCCTCAGCCCACTCCCACTAGCAGGAAGGATGTGCCCACTCACCCACCGGAGCCCCACACACTCGGCCACCACGCTCCCCCTCACCAGTATGGGCTGCAGCCTCCCTGCAGGGCAGGCTCTGGATGTCACAGAGGCGGCCGCTCCACCCAGGGGAGCAAAGGCAGTAGAAGGAGGCCCCAGTACGGGCACAGCGACCTCCATTCTGACAGGGTGCCCGGCTGCACCAGTCTACCGGCATCTGGAGGGGAAGCCCATGGCATCAGCGCTCGGAGACCCCCTAGAACGGCACCCTAACTTCTCTCCCAGGATCCTGAGCAGGCCCCACATCACAACCTGCCTGCAAACCCCTCCCCCAGAACCCAGGCAGGCGTCTTCGCCTGAGTCCCCAGCGGGCTGCAGCCCACTGCCCCACGCAGTCCCTACGCCCAGAACATCCCTCCAGACTCCAACCACAAGACGTCCGTGGCCCCGCCCACCTGGCACTGAGTGCCCGTGAAGCCCTCGGGGCAGGTGCAGCGGAAGCCAGGGTGGGCGGCAGCGCAGACGCCCCCGTGCAGGCAGGGCCGTGAGAGGCAGGGGTCAGCCTCACGTTGGCAGTGTGCACCAGTGTAGCCTGGGCGACACAGGCAGCTGAATGAGTTCACGCCATCCACACAGGTCCCGCCATGAAAGCAAGAGCTGGAGGGGAGGGGAGGGACATGTCAGGCTCCGCCCTCCCACAGGCCTCGCCCCCTGGGACCCTTCTAGCGACGAGGGAGAAGGCAGCCTGAACCCTCCCCTCCCCTAGGCGCTGAGCTCCAGCAGAGGCTGTTGTCCCTTAGTCCCAATTTACCAGGTGGAGACCCCGCCCGGGCCTGGCCTCACCTCCTCGGGGACCAGTATTGCTAAAGTGACCTGCAAACACGTGCCCTGCCCCTTCCCAGGCACTGCTCCACCAGGCCTCAGAGTCCGGAGCCAGGTGCCCAGCTGAAGATCCCCCTCCAACACTTCTGGTCCCCACTTCTTCATGCTGCATACCATGCCGGGGTCCCTGAGCTCCCAAGCAGGCCGCACCCACCTGGGGCTGCAGTCAGGTAAGTCCTGCTCACAGCGGAGGCCTCCATAACCTGGTGGACAGGCGCACGTGAAGGAGGCCACGTGGTCAGTGCAGGTGCCAGGGCCGCACGGGCTGCTCAGGCACTCATCCACGTCGCGGGCACAGCGGGGGCCAGCGAAGCCGGGGAGGCAGGAGCATGAGAAGGAGCCCACAGAGTCCTGACACAAGCCTCCATTCAGGCAGGGGTCTGCAGTCAGAAGGGGGCAGGTCCGGTCACTCACCTCACCCCCCTCTGCCCAGCCTGACTCTGCCACACCTTGCATACAGGAGAATCAGGAGGAAACCAGGATTTGCTGGGAGGGGCCCATTTGGTCAGAGGGGCCAAATTCTGTCCCGTCAGTGGCCTCACCCCCTCCCTTATCTGGAAACCTCCCCTATGTGGAAGGGGGAGGGGTCGGGGGAGCCAGAAGTTCCCTCTAAGCTGCCAAGCATAAGCTCCCAGTTCATCTGCTTAGTTCCTGCGGTCAGTACAGGTCTCCTCCAAACCCGTGCTGGCCAATGTAGTGGCGACTGGCCACCTGTGGCTACTGAGCCCCTGACGTGGGGCTGGTGCAAGTTAAGATGTGCTGTAAGTATAAAATACACACTGGATTTCAGATTTTCAAGACTTAATATAAAAAAAGAATGTAAAATAGTTCAATAATTTCATATTAATTACATGTTGAAATGATAATCTTTTTATATGTTAGGTTAAATAAAATGTTATTAAATTTAGTATGACTTGTTTTTGCTTTTTTAATGTGGCTACTAGAAAAATTGTAATTGCATGTGTAGCTTGTGTTATTTGCTAATGGCACAGCACTCCTGCAGAACTCGCCAGGGGCCTACACTTGACACACAATCCTAACTCAGGTGCTACCAGAGGCAGTCTACAGGCTTCCGAGTCAGACAGACCTGCGCTCCAATCCCAGCTCATCCCCCTATTGTTGTGTGACTTTGGGCAAGTCGTTTCACCTCTCGGGGGCCTCAGTTTCATGAATAAAGTGGGAAAAGTAACGGAACAGTGATGACAGAATGAAAGCACAGTGCTGGGCACACAGTGCAGGCTTGATGAACATGCTCCCTAGGGCAGCAGCCCCTAAGAGCTCCCCTGAACTCACTGGGGTCACAGTCATCGATGTCCTGATCACAGGAGGGGCCACTGTACCCAGCGTGGCAGGTACAGCTGAAACTCCCGGCCAGGTTGGCGCAAATGCCATGGGAGCCACAGGGTGAGGCGCTAGCACACTCGTCCACATCCTGCTGGCATCGTGGGCCTGAGGTTGGGGAGGAAGGTAACATCTAGTGTTAGAGGGTACAGGGTAGGGCCTTGGGTTGCCTGGGGCTCAGCAAACTTGGGGGGGCCTGAAGACTGAGATAGCTGAAGGCAGGAACAAGTCACAGTCTTTGCCTCTGGGCATTTTGCACACGTTCTTCCCGAATGGCCTTCTTGTTTCAGTGGGTGCTGAACACATTTTGTGGTTGAGATCTGCTCCCCAACGCCTCAGCCTGAGTCCTTGCTTCCCCATCCCCATAATCCCTTCCTCTTCTTCCAAACTGACCACGTGGGCTGCGAGTATCTGTCCCTCCCTAGAAGGAAGCTCCCTAAAAGGCAGGATCTGGGGTGGGTCACCCTGGAGGACCCCAGCATCACCTAGTATGGGGCAGGGTGCAAAGGAGGTAAAGGAAAAGAGGAGGAGGAAGCAGCAGCAGCTGGTGTACCTTGCCAGCCCAGGGGACAGGAGCAGACAGCCGGCAGGCCTGGGGCAGACTCACAGTGGCCCCCATGCTCACAGGAGCTCGGGGTGCAGATGGACAGCAGTTCACACTGATGGCCTGGGATGGAAGAGCAGAATGGGGCAGTCCTTCAGGGAGTCCTTGTTCTCTCCTCCCTCCAGGGTCCCTACCTTGGTACCCCCCTCCCAATGTCTTGAGGAGAGGGGAGAAAAGGGGCAAAAGGGCAAATGCAGAGGAGGAAGAGAGAATTGAGCAGAAGGGAAATGAGAAAAAGGGGATGTGGCATTGGGAGGGAAGGTGAGGACACTCACCCTGGACACCGGGGGGACAGGTACAGTGGAAGCCTATTCCATCACTGGTGCAGGTGCCACCAGCCTGGCAGGGCTGGGATTCACAGGCATCTCGAGTGAGGCTCTGGCTGCACCGGGGGCCACTCCAGCCAGGCTCACACACACAGCGGAAGCTGGAGGGGGAGGCAGTCAGGGCCAGGGCTTGGGCAGGGATGTACGGGGACCAGGCGCTGGGGAGAGGCCTCACCCTCCAGGTGCATCATGGCAGACACCGTGACTGCAAGGCTCCTGGGCACATGGATGGCTCCGGGGGAGGCAGAGTGGGGGCAGAGAGCCAGGCGGGCAGAGGCAGTGAAAGCCGTTTTCCCCATCCACACAGGAGCCGCCCTCCCCACACGGGCTGGATGCACACTCGTTGATCTCCACATTGCAAAGGGGCCCTGGGGAGCAAGCAGACAACGTCATTCTGGAACGAGGACAAGGGAGCCTACTGGGAGGGACAGCCCTGACCCTTTAGCACGGTCACATCCTTGAGCAAGGGCCACCTCATTTTCCATTTCCATAATGCATCAGCTCTTCTGCAAATTGGGACAACCACCTCAACATGGAGCCACCTTGCCCCAGATCATCTTTGTCCCCAAACTTAAATGAAGTCACTTTTATTGCCACCAGCAATTACCTTGGCCCCACTCAGAAACACCCCCATCCCCTAGTCTGGACACTCTTATCTACGTTCCGCAATAACTTTGAGCTGATTACAGGGACAACCTCACCCAGTGAGAGAGAGCATTGCCTCGGAGCTCAGTGTGGACAATCTCGTTGGACAAGCGTGCGCAAACAGAGGGACGAAACTTAGCCAAGAAAGATGGGAGATTTCACCCTTACCCTATAAAGACCCCCTTTCCATGGCAGCCGCTTGCCCACCTGTGAAGCCAGGCTGGCAGACACAGTCATAGCGGTTGATGCCATCCCGGCAAATCCCAAAGGTGCAGGGGTTGCTGGCGCAGTCATCGATGTTGACCTCGCAATTCACACCTGGGGAAAGGGAACTTGGCAGGGGTAGGCACCGCTGGTGCCCCACCAGGGGCATTATCCCCAAGCCTTCTGTGCCCCTCCAGATGTAGTTTCTGCCCCCAGCCCCACCCACCTGTCGTGCCAGGCGGGCAGCGGCAAAGGTATTTGTCCACCAGGTCCAGACATTTGCCCCCATGGCGACAGGGCTGGCTGCGGCACTCGTCCACCTGTCTCTCACAGCGCGCGCCCGTGTATCCCGGAGCACAGGCACAGGAGAAGCTGGCGATGCCGTCCACGCAGCGCCCATGGTGGCACGGGTCCGGGGAGCAGTCGTCCACGTTGCGCTCACACAGCGTGCCCTCAAAGCCTGCAGGCCCAGAGGGTCAGGCCAGGCCCACTTGACAAAGTACTGCCCACAGCCACGGCCTCGGCCCAATCCTGGCTCAGCTCCACCCCAGCCCCATCCATTGAGCCAACTGGAGGCAGGCTTATCCAGGCCCCTCCCCCAGCTGGCCACACCCCATTCAGCCAAACCTTCCAGGGCTCCCTCGCCCTTGGCGGGAAACTTCCACAGTTAAATCCCTCCGCCGGACGTGACCCCTTCTCCAATCCTTGTTGAGGATTGAACTATCAGCCCTGTTCCTGCCTCACCTTGGAAATGGGGACACACGGAAGATACATAGAGAAAGAGCTACTCTGGATCCTGCCAGACCCATTGGTTCATGCTTATGTCCATCATTAGCCTGCCTGTCATTGGGCCTGCCTTGATGCTGCCCTGCCCCCAAATTTTCCTCAAGGTTGTCATTGGCCCTCTCCTCCCTGAGCCCCGCCTCCAGATTCTCGCCGGCCTGTCATTGCTGCGCTCACCCTCTGCGCAGCGGCACTCGTAGCCGTCGGGCTGGTCCACGCACTTGGCTCCATTCCGGCAGGGGGTGCTCGCGCACTCATCCACGTCCAGTTGACACATGGCCCCGCTGAAACCTGCAATGGAGAGTGGGGTGAGCAGAGGCCCAGAGAGGATCAGAGCAGCCACCCACCCCTCGCCAGCCCTAATAAGGCCTTATAGGCCCTCATCCTGAAGCCTTCGCCCCTGCAGGGACCTGCCTTTGTCTGGCTCCCTGGCTCAGGGTCCTCACCTGAGGGGCAGGTACAGCTGAAGCCATTCACTCTGTCCTTGCAGACCCCGCCATTGACACACGGGCTGCTCTGGCACTCGTCCAGATCCACCTCACAGTAAGTACCTGTGAAGCCTGGGGATGGGGCACAAGGGAGAGGGATTAGGATCCCAGGCCAAGTCCAGTTCCACCCCTGACCCCCTCCCTGCCCCGCCTGCAGGCTCCGCTAGCCCCGCCCCCAGCCTCAGGCTCCGCCCCGGCCACACCCACCACGCACCTGCCATGCAGATGCAGGTGAACTGGCCTATGCGGTCGAGGCACGTGGCCTGGTTCCGACAGGGCCCGGATAGGCACTCGTTGACATCGGTCTCGCAGCGCGGGCCGGTGTAGCCGCGGCCACACTGGCACAGGAACGAGCCCTGTGTGTTTACGCACCGACCCAGGTGTTCACAGGGGTTGGCGCCTAAGGGAGTAGGCACAGTCGGTTTGGGTGTGGGCAGCTGAGGACCCGCCTATCCCCTCCTTCCTAGTTCTCAGAATCGTCCCCTCACCGATAGAACACTCATCCACATCCTGGTCACACGCCCCACCGGTGAACCCAGGTGGACAGGTGCAGATGGCCCGGCCGTTCACAGGATTAGTGTCACAGATAGCATCCTCATGACAGGGGTTGCTGACGCAGGCATCATCCAGGTGACACAGAAGCCCTGGGAAGGGGTAAGCAGGGGTCAAGGTCAGACCCCCCCAGCTCTGCCCCAAAAAGCCCCACACCCTCACATAGTTTTGTGTTTTGTTTCTGTTAACCTACAGTGTATAGCAGCTCTTTCCCCCCATTTATTATGAAAAACTTCTAACATACAGAAAATTTTATTCATACATCGTCCACCTTAATTCAACTATTGTAAGCTTTATCTTTCTTTTTTTCTGAACCAATTTGGAAATGAGTTGGAAACATCCACATACTGTTTTTCGATCTGTTGATTCTTTTTTCTGATTATAAAAGGGTCCAACCTTCAAGCCTTTGCTTCTGCAGCATCCTCTGGCTGAGGTGCCCTTCCCTCCACCTCCAAGACCCCCTCCTAAACACTTCCTCTGGCCTTTACCTCTTCCAAAGGTCCCTTCCCGTTCTTGAAAACAGTATAGCTCTCCATTCCCATGGCTTCTGCCCTGGGCTGTGTGCCAGCCTCCTCCCAGGCCTCTCCCAGGCTTACCCTTCACCACAAATCCAGCCTCCAGCATAAACATGCTAACACTCAGGTCAGACTCCATCCTTGCCCCCACTACAGAGCCATCAATGGCTCCCCGCTGCCTGCAGGGAGAACAGCCACTCACCAGTCTTGCCCATGGGGCAGGCACAGTAGAAGGAGGCCACACGGTCATGGCAGGTGGCCCCATGGAAGCACACAGCCGTGGCGCAGTCATCAATATTCTGACTGCAGCTCTCACCCGTCCAGCCATTGACACACACACAGCTGTGGCCACCCAGCGTGTTGAAGCACGTGCCCCCGTTGTGGCAAGCATTGGGCTGCAGCTGACACTCGTCCACATCCTCCGTGCAGAATTGGCCTGTGGCACACAGACGCACCAGTCCAGCCACCTGCTACAGGCCCACCTAAGGTTGGCCACCCAGCTCCCTTCAGTCCGGGGTGTTCACCTGTCCACTCGGGAGGGCACTGGCAGTTGTAGGTGTTGACACCATCCACACATGTCCCCCCGTTGAGACATCGGTGCCCTGGACAGTCGTCCATGTTCACTTCACAGTTCTGGCCTTCAAACCCTAGCATGGGGGGAGGAGGTGAGGATGGTCACTGCCAGGCGGGTCTGCTATCCTCCCCACCCCAGCCACCCCTGGTACAGCTCCCTCACCAGGAAGGCAGGCACAGTCATGAGTGAGATCGCTGCTCTGTCTACATGTGCCCCCATTACGGCAGGGTGAGGGGGCACACGGCACTGCGGGGCTCTCACACAGTGGCCCCGTGTAGCCAGCTGGGCACTGGCAGCGGAAGGAGCCAGGCGTGTTCAGGCAGGTGGCACCGTGGCGGCAGGGCCCGCCCACCCGGCACTCATCCACATCGCTTCGGCAGCTGCGGCCCTGGTAGCCAGGCGGGCAGGAGCAGATGTAGCGGCCGTCGGGCCCCACAGAGCAGCGGGCCCCGTGGGCACAGGGGCTGCTGAGGCAGGGGTCTGGCAGTGAGCAGTCAGGGCCTGGAGGGACCAGGAGAGGGTGAGCTTGGGCCGACGACACCCTTGGCCTCAGGCTCCCCTCCAGACTCTCCCTTACCTCGGAAGCCGCGGGGGCAGCGACATGAGAACATGGCAGTGCCTGCCACCACCGAGCTCTGGCAGACCCTGCGGCCAGCACAGGGGCCCGAATGGCAGGGGTCTTCCAGCTGGCACCATGCGCCTACCCAGCCTGGTGGGCACCTGTGGGCAGAGACGGCTCAGTGTTGGCAGAACAGGACAGAGAGCCCCAGAGATATGCACAAGACAGGCCAGAAACAGCCCGGCAAACACACACACTCACATTCACGTGACAAATACCCACAGAGCACTTCCTATATTCTCAGCAGTAGGAATAGAGCAGCACGCACACTGAAGGCGGTCTCTACCCTCCTGATGCTCGCAGCCAGATCGGCCTGCATGGAGTTCAGTGGTGACCCCAGAAAAGAAATGTCCACGTCCTAGAACCTGTAACTCTGACTTTACTTGGAAAAAGAGTGTTTTCAGATGTAACTAAGTGACAGATGTCAAGATAAGGTCATCCTGGGTTTTCCAGACGGGCCCTAAATCCACTGACAAGTGTCCTTATAAAAGAAAGACAGAGGGAGATTTGGAGAATGAAGAGAAAGGCAGGTGAAGACAGAGGCAGGGACTGAAGTGTTATGCCCACAAATGAAGGAATGCCTGAAGCTAGGAGAAGTTAGAGAAAGGAAGGGAAACTTCTCCCCTAGAGCAGCTGGAGACACTGAGGCTGCCAACACCTCGCTTTCAGAACTATGAGAATAGATCTCTGTTGCTTTAAACCATCCAGTTTTTGGTCATTTGTTATGGCAGGCCCAGGAAAACCAAGACACAGGGGAAGGGGGCCAGAGGGAGGAGGGAAGGTAAATATTGCATTTTTACAGGCTAAAGAAGTGGGGGAGGGGACCACAGGCTGTGCAGGGAAGAGCATTTCAGGCGGAGGGAAGAGCAAATGCAAAGTCTCAGACTCTGAAGACAACCACAGAGGCCCAGACAGATAGACAACCCCAGAAACACACACACAGCCACCCACAGAGGGACACACCAGGGGAACAGGGTGGCCTGGCAAACGCTTGGACACCAACCCACAGCCTGAGTCATGGATATGGGCAACTTTCACAAGGGCAGACAGAAAGGACCTCCACTAATCCTCTGCCTTACTGGGGGCACGACAACCCTTCCTTCCACTGCGGGGAGGAGGCGGATGCCAATGCTGGTGCCTCCGCTTTAGTGGACAGGTCCTTCAGCCTGCAGCCCCCTCCCCAACCCCACCAAGGCAGCCTTGAATGTGAGGGAGGTTACGGGAGAGCTGGTCTTAACACTGGAACCTTCAGAGGGACACCAGAGGGCCAGAGGGAGAGGCCTGGGGAGGCGATTAGGTCCAGGCCCCGCCCCTGACGCTGCCCACCCCTGAAGCCTGTCCCTCCTTCTGGCTTGTCCCTATAGCGTGGGGCTCAACGCGGGCAGCTGACTCAGTCCTTAGCTTCACCCACAAGATCCTCCCCCCCGCGACAACGGGCCCCCAGCAAAACAGGTCGGGGCACGATGGGCGCGGGTGCAAGGTCGTGCCTGGAGGTGGGGTCCAGCTCCCAGCCCCACTCCCCAAAGGCCCGACGCGCACGGTTGGCCGCCACGACTGCACGTCGGGAGGGGGCGCGCTGCGGCGGGCGCCGAACAAGGCAGGTCCCACCGTCAGGCAGGGCGCGGCCCCCTCCCGCCGCCGCGAGCGGGTTCCCACGCTCTGCGCCCTGCGCCCCTGCCGACCGGTCGGGCCGGTTCCAGCCTCCGCCCGCGCCCCGCCTCACGGCCAGGGCTTTGGGGGAAACGGCGGGGTGGGGAACGGACTTGGTGGGGAGGTTGACGGAGGAGGCCTGAGGCCTGGGAGATACAGGCGAGCTTGGAAGCCTAACTGGAGGCGGAGACTTGGGGGATCCAAAGAGGGACAGCTTGGAGTGTCCCTGAAAGGACACGAGTATTGGGACCTTGAAGGAGATCTGAGGGGCCCGCGGGGAGTGCTTCCCACGCCCCAGCTCCGGAAACAGAGCCCGCTCCACTGCGGGCGATCCGGGCTCCGGGCGGCCGAGCGCGCCGGTGATTCACCTGTTGAGGGGCGGGGCCGCCGAGGGCGCATTCACCTGTCGGCTGTATTCCAGGTGCAGAACTCCGTTGCGCAGGCGCCCAGCCCCGGGGCTCCACCTCCCAGGTGTGTGGCTCCAGGTAGTGTCACACTTTCCCCTACTCCAACCATCAGACTCCCACCGGGAGGAACACGCTCAACGGAGGTAAACCCCCCACCCAGGTGAGCCCAAGTGGGGGTCCAAAGCTCCTGTGTAACTTCAAAGGGGCTCTCCTAGGTCTAAAGTCACCCCAGACCCACCCAGCTTGGGCCTGGCACACTTGTTGATTAAATAAAGACATCAATGAAACAATCAACAGCTATTGGGTGAACTACTATTACTAATGACAATATTATGAAAAGAACTAAGCATTTACCCATAACCTTGAGAGGTTCCCCCTTGACTCCTCTTTCCTGTACCTTATTAAATAACAATCCCTATTTATTGAGCACTTACTGTGTGCTGAGCACTATGCTGGGTTCCTCATATGAAGTATCTTTCAGTCTTTACAATCAGCCTCACGAAGGAGGAACTATTATTGATCCATTTTCCAGATGCAAAAACTGAGGTGTGGAAGTCAAAGCACTTGCTTGAGGTATCCCAGAGCCCAGACTTCAAACTGAGCTCTATCTGCCTCTGTTGAGCTGTTTCCCAGCCCCTGGCCTGCCCCCCCACCCCGCCTCCTTCTGCCTTTCTTGTATTATCCAACAGCTGAATTCTTGGGCCCCTTCATGGTCACAAGCCAGAGGGAAGCACACCTATATCACAGAGGCAATGGGGTTCAGAGAGGGGAAGTAACTGACCCAAGGTCACACAGCAAAGGTAGGTGGGGCGCAAAGGAAGGTGGGGGTTAGCCAGGCCCCCAGGAACCCAGCCCAGAGTGACAGAGTGACAGAGCAGAGCTATATTACAGACCTCCTGTCCTCCCACCACAAAATCTTAATAGGAAGGTGCCGCAGGGTTCCCACTACTGCCAAGCCACTGCCATTGGTCCCTGAAGATTTGTTGATTGAATAATAGCTACCTTCATCAGAGGCTTTACATGCGACCTCAGGCAGCCAAAAACTCTGTGAAGTTGGAGTTATTTTCCAGCCCAAGACATTGAGGTTTAAAGAGTTTAAGTCCCAGGCAGTCAGCGACATTATGCAGGATTTGAACCCAGGCCAGCCAGACTCTAAAGCCCCGCTCCATTCTGATGGGGAAACTAGAGGTTGCCCAAGCCACACACAGGTAGGAAGCGGTAGGGTCATCCACGCTGGACACAAAGGCAAGGGAGAAGACAGAGCACCTCCCCACATGGGGCCCACTGATCACTCAGAGCCAGGCACTCACAGGCAGGCAGCTTCCCGGGAGGGCAGCTGGGTGCAGCGACCTCCATTGGCACATGGGCGTCCATCCAGGCAAGGGGTTGCTGTGTGGGTGCAAAGGAAGGTGGGGGTCAGCCAGGCCCCCAGGAACCCAGCCCAGAGTGACAGACCTCCTCCTTCCCTCCCCCAGGCAACAGCTGCACCAGGCTGGGGTGCCTCTGTGGGTGTGGGGAGACCCCATCCACAGTTCCCACGGCCCCCCGCCCCAGCCCCAGCTGTTGGGGCTGCAGCTGTCCCTGCCAGCTCAGGCCCTGGGAACCACAGGCAGGGGCAGACAGGAGGAGGTGCTGACTTGTGCCAGATGTGGGGGCTCAGGAAGCTGCTGCAATGGGAAGTTCTGAGGCAGGAAGTGAGGGTGCCTAGTGTTAAAGGGAGGTGTATGGCTGTGTACCCCGATCCTGGGGCAACTGAAGGAGCAGAGGCAGAGAGTCCCTTCTTACCCCTGATGTTGGTCATTACTCCAACCAGGCGGGCCTGTGTGGTAGCTCTAGGGAGAGGCCAAGGCATGTCCCCCACGTGCAGTGAGCCTTGGGTGTTTTGGAATAGGATGTACATCGAAGGGAGGGGCAGCCAGTACAAGACGTGTGCTGCCCTGTCCAGCGTCCCCATCCCTGAGGGCTCTGTCCCTCTGGGGTTTGACAAAGTCTAACTGTCTTGCCAGACAGGTCTGGGGTGTGACTGGGTGTGAGCTAGTGGAGAACTGTGTGTGCCAGCAGGTTGCTCTGTGTATGCGTGTGTGTCACCTCAGAGAGCTAGAGATGGAAAGATGGAAGGAACTGGAGAAAAACGGACGCAGACACAAAAAAGGAAACTAGAAGCAGGCAGACACAGGGAGGAGACAGAGAAGGGCAGAGACAGAGAGAGGGAGAGACAATGGTTGGGGCGGGCCCTGAAGACAGCCATCATGGCACATGTCCCCTTCTTCAGGAGATGCCCACAGACTGTGTCACCTGCTGGGAGACACATTGGGAGATGCGTGATGTTGGCTGTGGGCTGTGTGCCACGTGTGTGTGCGTGCGTGATGTGCATGTGTGCATCTGTTGTGCATCTGTGTATGTGAGATACATGCTGTAGCTGGGTGTACAGCTGTGTGTCTGTGTGTGTGACCTGGTGTGCTTGGGTATCTATGTGTGGGCTAGGCTGGATGAGTCTGCGCAAGCTGGGTGTGGGCATGCCCTTGGATGCGTGTCTGCATGTCGTCTGAGTGTGTGCAGGCAGCGAGCGTGAGGCCTTCGGCTGGTGTGCCAGGTTATGTGTGAACATGTGTGCTTGTATGTGCACCTATGTCAGCGTGTGAGCTGGGTGTGCACATCTGCGGGTGTACTCTGTGTGTGCGTGTGTGTACGTACGCCCGCATGTCTGCATCTCTGTATGGGTCACACATACAGATCTGTGCGTGCCTGCCAATGTGTCACAGGCCATGTGTGTGTGCACTGGCCCCGCGGGGGCGGCCGCTCCTGCCAGATGGGGCCCCAAGGCTGGGCAGGCCCTTCCGTCCCGCACCCCTCACCCCTGCTAGCGCCCAGCCCCACAGCGGCTTCCATTGACCCCGGGCCAGGGCCGCTCGCCCGCGTCCCTCCTCCGCCGGCCAGGCCTCCCTTGGGTGGGTGCGCGCCCGCAGCCCCCGCCCGGGCCCCGCCGTCCGTCCCGCTTTGTCTGGCAAAGAAAGCGCGAGGCCGGCTGGGGGGAGGGGGTGTCTAGACGGCGTGGCCATTGTCCCGAGCGGGGGAAGGGAGCTCGGGCGCGGGGAGGGGCGGGGGGCCCCGGCCGGCCGGGAGGGGCTCTGGGGCCGCAGGGGCGCACGTGGGTCCGGGCCCCCAGCCCTCCCGCCCGTCCGCGCCCTCCCCGTGCGGAGGCGGGGTCCGGGGCCGCCCGTCCCGGCCGCCGGGGCCGCGGGAGAGGGCGGGGCGGGGGCGCCGCGGCGGCTCCGGCTCCCGCTGCCGCTCCGGGTCTTGCCGCGCTCCGGCTGGACAAGTTTGCTGCGAGTTCAGAGCTCTGAGAACTTCGCGCCCCGCCGCGTCCCCCGCCCGGCCAGGCCTTCCCGGGAGTGTGTGGGGTGAGGTGGGGGGCTTTTGTGCGAGAGGTCCCCGGCCTGGGGGTACGTGGGCTCCATCTGTGACCTTCGCCGGACACCAGACGGGCACGGATTGCGAGCGAGCCTCAAAATCTTTAGTCCCTTGATTCCCGCACCTCGAGCTCCCAGTTCTGAACTCCTGGGTCCCCTCATTCCCAGCCCTGGTCGTTCCCGGCCCCCTGTTCCTCAGGCCTCTGGTGCCCTGCCCCCAACCCCACGCAGCCCCCGGGCTCCTCCGCCCCCGGCCCCTGTCCTAGTCCTGGGCCCCCAGGCCTCCCCACCTCAGCTGCAAACCCGGGGTCCTTGCACTCTGCTCTAGCGCTCGTCCCCCGCCCCCACCCTGCCCAGCCCGCCGGGTCCCAGCCCCTCACCTGCAGCCCCCGGCCCCGCTAGCAGCAGCAATAAGGGCAGTGCCCGCACGGGCGGCAGTGGCGGTGGCGGCGACATCGGGCGGCGGCGGGGCCCCTGGGCCTCCGGCCCCATGGCTGCCGGCCGCGACCCTCCCTCCCCGTCCTCCCTCCTTCCCAGGGCTCCGGCGCGTCCCGGGCCCGTCTCTGCGCCGCCAACTTCACCAAAGTGAGGCTGCCGGGCCGCCCCGCCCCCAGCCCTCGGCGGCTCGCCCCGCCCCGGGGCCGGCCCTGCTCTCCCCCGCCCCCCGCCCGGCCTCCCGGGGTCCTGGCCCACCCTCCACCCACACAGCCTGGGACCCGCAGGCCTTCAGAAAGCCAGGCCGGCCATGCCGTGCGCCGTGGGCCTACCCCGCAGTGACAGACACACTCAGCCTCCTCAACACCCGCTCCCACCCCACAACCAGAGCTGGGGACACTTCGCAGCCCCAGGATGCAAACACAGACGCCCCGAAATCGAGGCCAGGCAAGTCCTGAGAAGGTGGTGAACACGCAGCCAGAATGCACAAATGCAGATGCAAACACAGGTTCATGGGACTTAAAACTGGGAACACACGAACCTGAACCTCTGGCCAGGCCTTGAGCCCAGGGGGGCATTTGCAGCCTCCGTGCCCAGACACACCCTGGGAGTTTCAGGAACGCAGGCAAACACACAAGCACACCCCTTCTTACTCTCAGCCTTCCGGGAAAGTGATCCCCTTTCTCCTCACTGCTTTGTGTGAACCCCGAAGGTCCACCCCATTCCCCAAGCCCCACCCCATACCCTTCTGTGCTTTGTGGCTCAAACAATCTTGCTCAATTTGATCAGCTGCTTTTCGCAGAGTTGGTCATTGTTGCAAAGCCCCTTTGCAGCCCACTCTGTCCCTGTGATGAGAAAGGGGTCCCAGGAAGGGGCCCAAGCCCAGCCCTGGAAGAGCCCTCAGTCTGTCCAAGAAAAAGCCAGGTATAGACACCCCCAGCCCTGTGAGCTCAGGGCTGGGCCAGAGTCAGGGGACAGCATCTGGGGAGAGCACACGACACAGGGTAAGGGCTCTGCCTGGACATGTCAGATAAATGGGATCATACAACGTGCAGCCTTCTGTGTCTGGCTTCTTTCACTCAGCATGATGTTTTCAAGGTCCATCCACACTGTAGTGCAAATCAGGGCTTCATTCCTTTTTGTGGCTAAGTAATATTCCACTGTAAGGATGGACCACGTTTTGCTTATCCTTCTTCATCCATTACTGCCTCTGATGACTTCTAAATGCTGGAAGAAGAAGTGACAGGCAGAGAAGTACCATAGTTAGAAAGAAGAAGCATGAATGGCCCAGGGTGAAAGTTGAATGACTGACCCCTAGGGATAGTCCTCAGAGATGACCTTAAGCCCTGCTGAGGCCAGCAGATAGCCCAGCCCCAGGAAACAGGAACCAAAATGCTAGGCCACCCATCCTATGGATTCAGCATCTGTGCAGGGGTGGGTTTCTGCCCATCTTATGGTGATTTGCTGGAGGATTTCTGGAGAAAGAGCTGAGATTTGAACCTAGATCTGAGTGACTCCAGGCCAGGTGGAGTGTGGGGGGTGGAGGTGGGGATAAGTCAAAGAAAAAGTCAAGAGTTGCACAAGAAGGGGCCTGGACAGATTCACAGCAAGGGTGCTGAGTCAACAGGCCCCTGGGGCAGGTGCAGCTGAAGCCCCGCCCATGCCTAGCGCTCCAGAGGAAATCCAAGCTGTCAGCCCTCCTTTCACAGCCTTTGGACCCGGCCCCCTTTTGTCATCCTCATCATCACAGAGTCAAACTCTGTCTTCATCCAGCAGGCCTGGCATGCCCACGGCCTCTGCCCAGGTTCTTCCCTCTGCCTGGGGCACCCAGCTGATTAGAAGGGCCCTTCTGCTTCCTCTCCAAGCAGAAACTCACAGCAAGTGTGTTCTCTTCAAAAATGCTTCTCTTCTAGTTACGGGAATGCTCTGCTATTTCCCATACATATGACCCCTCTACCAATGCTGGTCCCTCTTTCTAGCATGCCCTTCTCCCCATGCCCAGCCCCGACATTCCTGTACCTGGTGAACTCCTATACATTCTGGAAGGTTCCAGCTCCAAGAAGACCTCTCTGCACCCCCTGCCCCCTATCAGGCTTCCTCAGGCCCACTGACCAGGGACCTCCTACTCAGTCTTGTCCACAAGGGGCTGGGGCTGTTTTTGTCCTGTTCTGTCTCCCCCCAAGAAGAGGGAATTTCCTGGGGATCAGACATCACCCAGAATGGGGTGGGCACAGAGGTGGTGACATGGGAGGGGTTAGTGACCCAGGAAGTAGCTAAAGGGGTTGGGATGCCAATCCCAGAACAGACACTTCACCGAGCCCAGATCAGTCTCTTCAGTACCATTCTTGGGGGCTGGAGGTCCAGAAAAGGGTCTGGGGGCCCATGGGCAAAGCTAGGGGTTCCTTCCCTGAGCCATCTGAAAAAGGACTTTGAACTGGCATGATACTTTAAGAGGTGCTGAGCTCCCTGTCACAAGGAGCAACCAAGGAAAGTAGACACACATTTTGCTAGGCTCCACGTATCTGGTGGCCCTGACAGAGACAGAGAGGGAACAGTAGTGGTGGAGGCATGGTGGGGGAGGGAGACAAAAGGAAGAAAGACACATTTACAGAGTCCCTATTGCGTGCCAGGCCCTTTCTGAAGCCCTGTGACTCCAAGGGCACCCACTCTGCAAGCAGAAGCTGGGGGTCCCTGCTCCAGCTTCCTGCTTCTGCCCTCCAGCTATGACGAAAGGACCAGCCCAAGGTGTCCAGATCCCTGGGGAAACTGGACAGTCAAGGAATCATTCCCACGGCCTTGCAGCAGGCCGCCACACAGTTCCCAATGTGGTGGGGGTAGGGGTGGGCTTGAGCCCTGTCCCCTGGCCCTGCTGGCCGCCTTGGCCAGGGACTGCATTTCTCCTCAATGAGCTCAGTCCCAGGGGATGTGGGACCTGGGGCCAGGCCAAGCCACAGCTGCCGGGTGCAGGCCCACTGACCAGGGACCTGAGAACGTGCCCTCGGCTTCTTCTCCAGCGACCACACCTCCACTCTCTGCACAGAAGCTGCATCCAAGCCCTCATGCCCAGGCGGTGGGCCAAGAGAGCCACCAAGAACCAGCAGGGGTGAGGGCTGCCGGGTGTGGTCTCTGGCCCAGTCGGGTCTCCTAGCCGCTGCCTCCCTGGGGCCTTCATACGCAAAAGCCTGCCATGGCTCCGCATTGCCCAGAGTAACACCGTCCCCGCCTCAGCAGCTTCACTTCCCTGCCTTCCACTGTTCCCTAGCCTTTGGCGGGCTCCGACCACTGCTGGGAGCACCCTTCCCATACCTTGAAGGCAGCTCACTCTGCTCTCCCAGCCCTTCTTACCTTCATTTAGTCATCCAACAAACATTTACTGAGAACAAATAAGAACAATTGAGTGTGGCATGAGGGAGGGAGAGGTTTCAGAGTGGGGGTTCAGGACAGGCCTCTGATGAGGGGACTGAGAACTGAGACTTCAAGGAGAAGCAGTCGGAGAGGAAAACAGACGAGGAAGATTGTTCCAGGCAGAGAAAAGAGCAAGTGCAGAGACCCAGAGACGGAGGGGGTGGGTGGGTGACACAGCAGTGCTGAGGCCAGGGTGCTGGGTGCAGAACAAACAAGGGGCGGGAGGTCAGGGAAGCTTGTGGGAGCTAAGTCCCAAGGGGCTGAGGGTCTGGGATTCTTTCACAAGCACAGTGGGAAGGTTTTAGCAGGGAGAAGTGATCTGATTGAGGTTGTAAAAGATTACTCTGGAAGCTCGGCCATCTCTTCATGTGCTCTCGTCTGGCTCCTACTACCTCTTCCCTTTACATAATCCTGCCTGGCTCCCCCATTAAATTTTGAGCTCTGTGGGCATCTGTCCTGCTCACTACTGAATCCTCCATGTCCAGCATAGAGCACATGGTAGGGAGGTGAAATAACTCTCAGGTGAATCAATGAATCTGCCCAGCATCTCTCAGCAGGGCAGAGTAGGACCCAGGAGCTGAGATCTGATTGTGCCCAGCACCAGCCCTGGAGACATCCCTGTCTGGACATACACATGCCTGACCCCATTAGATCAGGGCTGGGTCAGAGGAAGGCAAGGGGCTGGTGGGGTGTCCTGGAGGAGGGGTGTGTGTGTGTAAGAGTTGAAAGTGGAAGAAAAGAGAGTGGAGAAATGGAGCTCACTTCAATCAAGCACCTATTGGATCTGCAGCTCTGGGCGGAGGAAGCGGGAGACCACTCCCACCCCCTCTGGGGGCAGTAGTTTCCCTGCCTTAGTACCCCGCCACTGGGCAGGACACCCAATGGATGCCTTGGCTTCACAGGCCCTGGAGTCAGAGCACTCCAACCTCCCACACCCCATCTTCTCCTGTTCACCTGTACACCACAGCACTCTAGTGTTCCCTACCTACTTTTCGTCTGTGTGACACACTTGTCCTTCCCACATTTCCTCCTGCTTCAGAGAAGGGGAGCGCCTTCCTGGAGCTTTACATTACCTCCTCCCTTGGCGAAAAGTTGAGGTCTTTTTCCAGATAAAGTGAAAACGGCAGGAATCCGGCGCAACTGTTCTTACTCTCCCACCCCCAGGCTCCTGTCCCTCTCCTCTGCATCTCCCCCCACCTCTGCTGGCTCCCTTGTTCCCCTGCCCCACTCTGCTCTCTGTCCCGAGAGGCTGACCCCTACACACTGCATCAATGGACGTCCTTGTCTCCTGGCTTCCAGGTGGGTTTGACCAATAGGAGGCACTGGCACAAGATAAAGCCAGAAGAGAGAATGGGATATTAATCTCCCCCTGTAGGGTCACCTCTGCTGGCTGTGTCCCTTGCCAAAGGCCCTGTCCATACACATCTCTCCCTGAGCTCTACTAACATCCTGCTTTCCCCCTGCCCAGTCGGCGGGGCCTGGAGATAGTAATGGCTCTCCACGGGCACCTGACCAGGGGTGGTGTACTAACCTTGCCTGCAAATTACCTATAGCAAACCTGCCACCAATTACCCTGTCTGAATGTGACAGTTGTTTCCCTCAGGCTCCTGACTGGGGTTCCCCACTCTTCCCTCCCCACTTCTGCTCAGAGGCATTCAGGGCGTCCAAGCCCTCTGTCCTCTATCTCCGTCCCAGGTTGCCTCCCTTGAGATCTATGTGGCTCAGTCCTCTCAATTCCTTGCAGCTTTGGACACCACCAGCTATGTCTCTCCTCCTGGTGCCCCCCACCTGCCCCCGCCACCATTGCTAGGGCACCAGGTTTGTCTGCTCCCCCTCTTACCCCTGTGGGCTCTGTCTTCTGCCTATCCTTAATATGTTGGGCCCCCAGGGCTCAGTCTTCAATTTTGTTCTCCATTCTGTCCCGCTCTGCCCCACTACACATGGATGCTTTTAACCCATTAGATGTTTCTAGGTCCCTGTGCTAGGAGTCCAGCCTCTCAGACTGAACATGCCCAAACCTACTTCTGGCCTTTCATGCATATCTGCTCCTCCCCAGTGCCTGGACGTGGGCTCATCCTCTATTGCATGGACCACACCCATCCTCCTTCCCAGCCTTCCCACATTCAGTCCTCCGCATCTGGTCCTGCCCCTTCACCAGCTCCCAAATAATATTCCAGAAACACACACTGGTCCGGAACCCAGTCTCTGTCACACTGATGATCAAGCTTCTGGCCTGGTGTTTGAAGCTCCGTCTTCCCATCCCAAACTTTCCTCTGGGTCTCACGGAAATGCTAAACTAACCACCTGGGCATGGGAGGCTTCCGTGGGCTGGAGCACATCCTAGCAGTGTTCAGCTCCAAGGCCACCTTCTCCAGGCAGCCTTCCCTCCCTTCCTCTAGGTCAGAGCCTTTCCCCAGCTCCTCATCCCACCTGGGCCTGACCACACAGGGCTGGGAGCGTCTGTGCCCGGCGTCGTCTCCTATGCCCCATTTCTGGTGCGGGGCCCGCAGTTTAGAGCTGGTAGCAGAGAGAGATGGACGGATGCACGGATGGATGGGTGAATGACTGAATGATGGAAGGTGGTCTTTAAAAAAATTTTTTTTTATTAAGGTATGATTGATATACACTCTTATGAAGGTTTCACATGAAAAAACAATGTGGTTACTACATTTACCATTATTATCAAGTCCCCACCCATACCCCAATGCAGGCGCTGTCCATCAGTGTAGTAAGATGCCAGATCCACTATTTGCCTTCTCTGTGCTACACTGTTCTCCCCGTGATCCCCCACACCATGTGTAATAAACATAATACCCCTCGATCCCCTCCGCCCTCCCCCACCCCTCCCCTTTGGTAACCGCTAGTCCCTTCTTGGAGTCTCTGAGTCGGCTGCTGTTTTGTTCCTGGAAGGTGGTCTTAAAGCGGGAGCTCAGAAAAGGGAGAGGCCGAGCTGGGGTGGGCCCGCGACCGGAGCAGTCCCCTTCCAAGCCCTTGGGGTTGCCTCCCCTCGCCCCAGAAGCGTTGCGCGCGCCGAGACCCTTAGCCGAAGAAAGACGCAGCCGAACTGGCTCAGACTGGAGAGGCGGGCTGCGGCCGAGCCACGAGTCGCCATTGGCTAGCTCGCCAGGAGTCTGCCCAATCAACGAGATCGGTCCTCCCTCGCCCCCAAGATGCTCTCTTTCTCCGGCCTGAGGCCGCCGAGGCGGAAGACAGCTCTTTCTCGTTACCTGGCAACCGTCAGCGGCCTCCGTCGCCCGGCAACTGTCCGAGGCCTCCCGTCAGCCTTCGCTGGGGTCCCTCTGGTTGTCCAGACAACCACGACCCGTTCTGGTCAACCATCAGTTCTTCTCTCGTTTCCCTGGCAACCGTCACCACCCCCTGGACACGCAGTCCGCGTCCTGCCCGCAGGCCTCCTCACTCCAGACCTTCGACCCTGGCTCCGAGGGTCCCGGGCCCTCTCCTCCTCCCGCCTATCTCCTGCCCCCAGGGACACTGTTCCCATCCTGGCAGAGGGACCCCTGGGCTGGGTCGGGCCTTGGGGATGCCCTCTCCGGAAGTGGACGGCGGACAGACCGCCGCTGAGGCTGTGCGGACATCCCTGCCCTGCTCCCCGCTCGCGCTCTTGCGTGGGTCCGTCCAGGCACCACAGGGAGCTTTTCAAAATGCAAGCCATGTCCCTCCCCTGCTGAAAACCCTCTCTCATATCCCCCTGAAAATGGAATCCAAACTCGCCGTAGCCCCCCGCTGGCGGCCTGGCTCTGACGTCTTCTCTCGCGTGCCCCCTCCCTCGCTCAGCCCTAGCAGCCGCTCATCTCCACGCGGTTACTCCCAAGCTTATTCCCACCTCTGACCTTCCTAGGTTCTGCGTCCCCCCAACCCCAAAATGTACGCCCCCAGCAAAAAGCAAGGCCTTTCCTGAACCCCCAGCACACATTCCACACCTCTTTCCTGTGCACTCCACTCCAGAACGAGGCTGTGTTCTTGTTCACACTTTATCCTCGGGGCCTAAACAGTGCCTAACACATGTGATGAGCGAGTGGATGTTATGTTGGGAACAAGGGAGGGCAGAGGCCAGATGACCAGCAGGCAGACCTTGGCCAGGCCAGCCCATCCCAGAGATAAAAGAGGATGTATTTGAGTTCTGCTGAGTCCCCAGGGAGGTCATGACACTGTCTCCAGTGGCCAGGCAAAGGCTGGGGAGACAGCAGTTGATGCTGTGACCAGCCTGGAGCTGGGTGGTCCACCCTTCACTTGCACTGCCCTGTTTGGAGGCTGGAGCCAGGGGTCCCCAGGAAGAATCAGCAGCAACTGTGGGTAATTTGGAGCAGAAGGTTCCAGGAGCTGGAGAGGCCTGCCTCAAACCCCAGATGGCCATTCAGGGAGCTGGGCCCTTCCTGTGCTGGGTCCAGAATCTCACATATCCTGACTGAACTGCTTTCCGGTGGATCTGAGACAGGGATCCCAGAGGTCTCTCCCAGGCTGGGGCAAGATAATTTGACCTTATAAGGCCTGCAGTGACGACTGGGAGGGAGATCGTGGGAGCTGCCAAGAGGCTGGCTGGAGAGGAGTCTGGGCACCCACCTGCCTATCCATGAGGATCCTTCCTTGGTGAGATGGTCAGGAGCCAGGCAGGGGATGTCCCTACTCCAGGAATACCCTCATCAACACCATCCAATAGAACTTTCTATGCTGACAGGGCAATTGTGCCCTTGAACTATATGGCTGAGGAAGTGAGTATTTTTATTTTTATATCGTTAATGTACAATTAACTTGAACAACACTATGGTTACTAGACTCCCCCCACTATCAATCCCCCCCACATACCCCATTACAGTCACTGTCCATCAGCGTAGTAAGATGCTATAGAGTCACTGCTTGTCTTCTCTGTATATACTGCCTTTCCTGTGTCCCCCACCGCTACATTATGTGTGCTAATCTTAATGCCCCTTTTTCCCCCTTATCCCTCCCTTCCCTCCCATCCTCCCCAGTCCCTTTCCCTTTGGTAACTGTCAGTCCATTCTTGGGTTCTTTGAGTCTGCTGCTGTTTTGTTCCTTCAGTGTTCGCTTTGTACTTAAGCTCCACAGATGAGTGAAATCATTTGGTACTTGTCTCTCTCCTACTGGCTTATTTCACTGAGCATAATACCCTCTAGCTCCATCCATGTTGTTGCAAATGGTAGGATTTGTTTTCTTCTTATGGCTGAATAATATTCCATTGTGTATATGTACTACATCTTTATCCATTCACCTATTGATGGACACTTAGGTTGCTTCCATTTCTTGGCTATTGTAAATAGTGCTGCGATAAACATAGGGGTGCATATGTCTTTTTCAAAATTGGCTCCTGCATTCTTAGGGTAAATTCCTAGGAGTGGAATTCCTGGGTCAAATGGTATTTCTATTTTGAGTTTTTTGAGGAACCTCCATACTGCTTTCCACAATGGTTGAACTAGTTTACATTCCCATCAGCCAGTGTAGGAGGGTTCCCCTCTCTCCTGAGGAAGTGAATTTTTAAGTGTATTTAATTTTAATCAATTTGTGTTGAAACTGAAGTAGCCAGATGTGGCTACAGTACCATATTTTTTTTTAGCTGAAGCCCCAGACTGGAGGTGGAAGCCAAGGACAGGAAGATCAGACAGCTTATGGTTTGTGTAGCTCTGGGGGCTGACTTTGGCAAGAAGAGTGGGGCCCCAGGGAGGGGAGAGGTAGGACACTGAGCATCTAGCTCCACAGAGAGGCGCACATGGTTCCCCAAAGCCACAGTGCTTGCTCACATGTGCACACACTCATGCCTGTGTTTGAACATACAGGTTGGTGTGTCTGAGGGCACCCCCAGATCCACCTGGGTGTATACATTGTATGGATCCCAGGTGCACACAGGCTGGCCAACGAGGGCCACTAGTTCAGTAGGTCTTGCAAGAAGGCCCACATGTACTGGTGCATTTCCTTGGGGTTGCTCTGTGGGATCCAGTGGCCCACATCTGGCAGGATGTGGGCTTCCAGCCGGCCGGGCACAAAGCGGCTGCTGATGGCCCCCACCAGCCCTTGGTCGTAGTAGGTGTCCTTCTCCCCCCACAGCAGCAGTGTGGGCATGGCCAGCTCCTGGGGCTCCAGGGGGAAGTACCTGTGACCAAGATAGACAGACAGATAGAGGGACAGAAAGATGGCTGCCCTCATCCCCTGCCCCTGCAACTCCACTGAGCATCCTCCCAGAATCTGGTCTCACCTGAAGAGGTTTCGGTAGTAGTTGAGGGGCCCAGTGAGGCCCCCAGGCTGTGAAAAATCATAAAGGAAGGCCTCCAGCTCGTTGGGGGTCAAGTGTGGGATGCCCCTCTTGTGGTGCGTGAGGGTGGTCTTCAGGATCTGAGCACAACGCAGGACTATGGTTTCAGTGCCCAGCCTTCCCAGTCCCAACCTGCTATCCCCCACCCATGCCTGGGGCCTTCACTCCGTTGCACCTGGAAGTCAGACATGGACAGCAACTTCTCGGGCAGCCAGGGAAGTTGGAACAGGAATATGTAGTTGGAATGGAAGAACTGGCCAATGTGGTGCATGGAGTAGTCTGTGGGGAGAAGGCAGAGATGTGAGGCTTGCCCCCCCAAATGGACCCAGGTCAGGCTCACAGACATGCCAACATTCACTGCTGCCTGCCTGAGCCCATTAGGATACTTGACACTCCTACCAGCCTAGGCTCCCTTCCTTCCCTGCTGTGTGGTCACTGTACCCACAGAATGGGGACCTCTTCCTCCTCAGTTCCCAGGAGCCCCCACAGCTACCAGTGTGCTTTCCCTACCCAGGCCTGGGTGCATTTCCCCTGCTTCATTCAACAAACATTTATTGAGCACCTGCTGTGTGCCAGACCCTGTTTCTAAACCCTAGAGACTCAGCAGTGAATGAACGGACAAAACTCCCTTGTCCTCAGAGAGCTGACGGTCTAGAGATAGAAACAAACAATAAAGAACAGAGTGAGAGAGAGAGCGTGTCAGTGCACAGCTATGACTACAACACTAGGAATTAAAATCAGGTGATGCGATGGCCACTGGATAGCCAGAAAAGGCATCTCATGCTATGGTAGTTGCTTAGTTATCCACGTCTTCCCGGCCAGAAAAAAGCCATTTCACCTCTTTTGCCTCAGTTTCCCCAACTGGATTGTAGAGATAATGGCACTTTCACGATCCCAGGAGGCTTGTGTAGGTTACTGTATGTAAGCACCTTCTCAGAGCAATTGCTACCTCTAAGTGCTCAAAAATGTTACTCACATGCCAAAAAAGGGGGTTACTCATAAGGGTACATTGTTGACTATAGATTGGGAGCACCACGAGGCAAGGGACCCAAGTTTGCGGCTGCACCCTCAGCCCATAGAGTGTTGACTAGTGAACACAGAAGTGCAGACCCAGACACACACCCCTTCACATGGGCAAATCCCAGCGTCCTGCACACACCTTGGTACACAGACATGGGGGCTGCGCTGACCACTACCATCCGCTCAACCAGGGATGGGTAGTAAATGGAGAAATTCCAGGCTAGGAGTGCACCCCAGTCGTGGGACACTAGGATGCACTTGGAGTAACCTGTGGGGAAGTGGAGAGTCAGAGGAACGGTGTAAGATCGGTACCAGGTAGAGGTGAGGCAGGGGTCGGGGAGGCCAGGTCTGGGATAAGGGTGCGTCCCCACCCAGGCCCAGGATGACATCCTGGATGTCTGCCATTAGCAGGTCGATGGTGTAGGAGTCAACACCCCGAGGTGCATCGGTGGAGCCGTATCCCCGCAGGTCCACAGCTACCACGTGGAATCGGCTCTGAAACTCGCGGAGCTGGTAGCGCCAGGAGAACCTGTCGAGCGGGCCAGGGAGGTCGTTCCGGTCAGGGTTCCCAGACTGCACCACCACCTCCACCCTGCAGGGGCCTTTAACACCCCACCTTCCTGCTCTGGACTTCCCAGAAAGGAGATGGGGAACCCCGGATGGAGGGCAAGGTCGGCCGCGCCCCGGATTCAGGGCAGCTTCAAATCTACGTGCCTCTTTCGCTCATCCTTCAGGGACTCCCTTCCTTGAGGGCCCTGATGTAGACTCCTGTTCCTGAGTGCCCCACCTGGGTCTATATGCTTTGCACCACTGGTCTTCCAAGCCCTCATCCCTGCCTCCTGGATGCCCTGGTGGTTGAAATCCCACCGCCCCCGAGCCCTGTGCACCCCAGGTCCCGGGGCCTCAGACGTACCAGTTCTCAGGGAAGCCGTGCAGAAACAGCATGAGGGGCCCGTTGCCGCGTCCGGCGGAGACACAGTGCAGGCGCAGGCCCGAACTCTGGGGGAGGACGCAGTCTGAGACCTGGGGAAACCCCTCTTGCCTAGGCTTGAACCCCCAGTCATGTGCAGACCCAGATTTGGATTCAACCATCTGCTCTCTGCCCACTACGCACCGGCCGCACACGGCCCCGAAGGCACCCCGCGCGCGCTCACCTCGAGAGTCAGGAAGCAGTGTTCGCCCAGAGTCGGGTCGTTCAAGCAGGCGGGTCGAGTGCGCCGGGGGCGCCCGCAACAGCCGCGCCGGGGCCGGCACAGCACGTTAGTGAGCGCGATGCAGCCGTAGACGGCGGCCGCCACCAGTGCCGCCGAGAACACGAGGGTCCACATGAAGGCGCGCAGCAGCTTCAGGGTCAGGCGCGACGGCGCCAGGAGAGCCGTCACCACCAGCTCGGGCATGTCGCGGTGTCCCGGGATGCCTTTGTCGCTGCCGTCGGGGTGGTGGGTGGGGGGCGCGGGCAGCTGCAGAGAGGCGGGGCCAGGGCCGGGGAGCCCACCGCCTTCCGTCTGGGGCCCCTCTGTACTGTCGGCGCTTGCGGAATGCGCTGAAAGAAGAGGCGGGCGTCTCAGACCGAAACCGTCACCGCGCACCCAAGACTCACCACCTAACTGCCAGGTGAACACACCTGGGCGTGACGGTGACGGAGCAAGGCTAGGGTGCGGGGATGAGGCCCGAGTGGACCGGGGCTTCGGAGGCTAGGGAGGGGCCTTGGGGAGAAAGGATCCGAGGGCTGGAGCTGTGGGCGGAGCCTAGCAAGGCTCGGGCGGGGCTTAAAAAGAGAGCGGGATCTGTTAGGACTCGGGCAGGTGGTGAGGGTTTAAAGTCAAGGGGGAGATTGGGGACTGGATACACACGGGAGAGGGGTGATATGGGAGGGGCTTGGTGCGAAGGGGCGGGGCAATGCAGAGTAGGTGCGGCCTAGGAGCGGGAAAGGTGACCCTAACCAGGCCCGGGAGCGTTGCAAGGGATAGGGGCGTGCCTTAATGGAGGGCGCGGCTTATCGATGGGCGAGGCCATAGGGTCGGGGCCTAATGTTAGGCGGAGAAGGCCCAACGCAGTCCCCGAGTGTGAGGGCTGGGCTAATAAGTTGGGGTAGGTCTGGATGCGGGCCAATGAGGCAGGAGGGGCGGGGCAGGCGGGCCCGGAAGCGAAGGTAGTGCGGTGGCTGGGCCTGTGAGGTAGGCGCGGGCCCGTGTCCTCTTCCCGGAGACCTCGGGATCCCCTGCCGCCGCCCCCCCCGGGAGCTTCCCACCCTGCAGAGCGCGACTCGCCCCTCGGCCTGGCTCCGAGAGACCTAGCAGCACCTTCACCCAGCCCTGGCTCCCGCGCCGGCCTCCAGTCGGCTTAGCGGGCCCTTCGGCCCGCCCCCCACGGCTGTGATTGGCTGGCGGCGGCCATTAACATGCGGGCGATAGGTGACACCCTGGACCGATCGGCAGATGTTGGGAGGCAGGGGCTCCGCGGGTGGCGACCAGTGGGAGTTCGGGAGACTGACTCAGAAAGGCGCCGGGGGAGGACCGCGCCGGTCGAGTCACCGGGGTTCTGGCGGAAAGAGGAAGCGGGGCAGGGCCGGGCGAGGCCGGCAGGGCATCTTCCCCCTCCTGTTTTGCAACCTTCCTTCAAGATCCTGAAGAATCTGAAATGTCAGGCTCACTCATCATTTAACCCTTATAAAAATCCTATTAAGTTACTAAGTTAAAGTATTGTCACATCCCCGTGTTACAGATCACGAACACGAAATTCGGGGATTAAATCATTTGCCTAAAGCCAAGCAACCGGCTAAATAGCAATCCAGGATTTGCAGAGGGCAGCAATCTTGGGCCCCACTTCTCCTTCCACAGGGGAGCGCTTTTAACATTTTTTATGTGGCTCTTGATTACCAATTTGGAGCACTACTGACTCGTTCATGTCACCACTCCTGTATATGCCATTTCCATTTTTAGTTGTCCTGTTTCCTCTAAATACAGTCACCTCCCACTTTCCACTGTTAACCTTACCTTTGTTTTGTCAAGGCTGTTAAACGTTATACTATCCAAGGACCATAATTGTGTGGGTTCCTACTTAAAGGGCAATAGTGGTTTATGTGGTTCTACCTCAGTAACAGTACATCTCCGGAGTCCAGCAGACATCTACAATTACACTGCCTATACTGTACAAACGTTTGTTCCCTCTGCATTTATAACCCACCTTTCCTTCCTTGTACGATTAGCCTGCATCACAGCTTTGGTTTCTTTTACACTTCCTATCCCTTCAGCTCTCCAACCTCGTCGATCCTGGTATCCTTTCTGAGTCCTCTCATCTAGCTGCATGGGTGGTGGGTGTCTGGGACCTCCCCTCATGCTCTGCTACACAAAGGTGACTCACACCCTTCTGTCGCCTGGAGCTTTACCCTTCAGCAAAAAAAAACAGTAGTCACAAGACAGTATTTTTATATTCAGTACAAATGTTTATTTTTGCAATGAGAACCGCACAAAAAAAATCCCTTAGTATATAAGTGAAAAGTCTACGAATTCCCTTCTACAAATGTCTGAAGTGTTAAATACAAGTCTCAGATTCACTGACGTAATTATTGGCCAAGCGATCCGTGCATACAGTACAGTGCACGCCTCTTACTCTTGTATAGGACTAGGATTCCTTGTACTGTGGGAAGGATTAGGAAATGGCCAGAGAAATTAAATAGTAGATCCAAGTTCTAATTACAACCCAGTTAGAGAAAACACCCATTAGGGAGGTATGGAGAGGTCCATGGCAGAGTTAAGTCTTGAGAAGGTGCAGACAAAACTGTTCCTCCAGCTAGTTGGACCTGGCCTGGGCAAGTTTCTGAATGAAACACGGAACAAAACTGGAGTGAGACGAGATGGAAGCGACCCAAAAAAATCAAAATGTAAGTCACACTTGAACCAGCACAGTGGTGTAAGGAGGAAGTGCCTGTGTGGGGCCAGAGAGGCAGCTGGGGGCTTGGGCTGGATGCCTGAACTGCACCCTCGCAGGGAGGTTTGGCAGATCCCAACCACGAGACAATGCAGGGCCTTTCTGATAGGAAAGGAAAGGGGGATGTGGATTAATAAACAGTGCTAGAAATGTTTCAGTCAGTTTGTGTTTCTGGATACATACAAATGATACCCTTCCGTCTAACATCCTAGGGGCCACTCTTAATGGTATCCCGGCAGGCACATGGGCGGGCTCTCTTGGCAGGAATGTGTGCGTGCACATCTGTGTGCATGGGAAGTGAGGATCCTCTCTTGGGGGATGTATGCTTATCTACGAATATGTGGTTAACCCTGAGCTTAAATAAAAGGAGTCGTAAGGAGGAAGTGGCTCGAGGCCTCTGGTGAGTCAGGAATGAGATGGGATGGGTGAGGGGGCAAAGGGAAGGAATACTGTGTGAGCTGGTCTGCTGGCACACGTTACCCACCTAGGAGGCCAGGGTCCACAGAAGGGGACCTGGGCTCCCTGTCATGGCTTCCGAGTGGGATGGCAGCTCCTGCCCCAAGACAGCATGGATGGGTCATAGGAGATGGGCTAGAGGACCCCTGGTGGTAGTTCTCATACAGATGTGGTCCTGGGGGGGTACCCCTGGGCCAAGCCTAGGCAATAGGTGGTTCACAAAGAAACGTCAGGGAGACGCCAGCATTAAAAAAGAGAGATGTGTTTATTCCATGACCAGTACAGACCAAATGCATATTCACCGTATGAAAGTCAAACCAGTCAGTGACTCCAGAGTTTGGCCAACACTGAGGCACCAGCGTTGTGGTGTAGAGTGGGTTCTCATGGCACGTGTAACCTCGCCAAGGGTTCCAATTATAAAATTTAAAAAGTGGGGTGGGGCGGGGCAGCTGGCTGGTCGGGCTGGGCGGGGACCCTCTGCCTCAGTCTGTGGCCCCCAGCCTCCAACCTCATCCCCTGGCCTTTCCTGGTGAAAAACTCAAACAGATTTGACATTAAAAAACAGGCCAACGAATTGGGGCAGGGAGGGTAAAGAAAACATGGTTTTATAATTAAAAAGACTAATAAAGTTTGAAACTGAGTAAAATAATAGGCAGTTTTTTTGTGTTTTGTGTGTTTTGTTTTTTTTTGTGGGTTTTTGAGGTTTTTTTTTTACACCTGTTTGGTGGAGTCACCAACAAACTTCAAACAAAGATATGCCAACTATGTCCACTACACAGTACAGCCACGGTCACACACTACCCACAGCGCGGTGGCAGCCGCCGCTCAATGAGACGATCACACCATTTCAGAGATAAGCAGTGCCATTGTGTCTGGAGAAGAGAAGAATTAAAAATAAAATAGAATCCAACAAAAAATATATATATAAGAAAAAACAAAAACAAAACAAAAACAAAAACACCCAGAAACACAGGTGGGAAGGAACTGACTTTGGTTGGTGGCCTCACTCACTGGGCGAGGCCGGCCCACACACGCACGTGTGACAGTCACCTCGCTCCAAATTGCCATGGACACACACACACCTCCACGGCACTATTCCCTTTTGCACAAGCGAACACTTACAGAGAGCGGCTCTCGATTAAAGGCTTGTGGGGGGAGGGGAGGGGTGGGATCTGTTCAAGGCAAAGTCAGTGCCAGCAAGGGGTTGGGCAGGTGCCCTCGCCCGCCTCCAGCTCACTTGGCCCACCCACCCTGGTCTCTGGGAGCAGGCAGCGGTGGCTGAGGCCTGGGGGAGGACTCCCAGCGGGCAGGACGTCAGGAACGTCCCGTTCTCGGGACAGGAAACCAGTCATGGTGGCGGCAGCGACGATGTCCTGTGTATACTGTGTAGACATTTGGCGGAGAGAGGGGCCTCTACCCCGCATGCGGGGCTTGGGTCTGGCCAGCACTTGCTCATGGTGAGGCGTGCTCTCAGCTGACGTCCTGTGAGGGGTGGCGGGTGGCGGGTGTCCAGCCGGCTGTAAGGCAGACAGGCTCTGCGGTCCTCAGCTGCCTGACAGGCCTGCCCAGGCATAGGCATGCAGGAGGGCCAGGCCCGGAGACTCCACCTGCCGCTGCTGCCGCCTCCACTGCCGCCCCTAACACTATGGAGAGTCAATGTTTTGCCAGAAAATCAAAGTCAGAAGTCACCTAGGTGCTCTCAGAAAAGATTTTCTTCAAATATTGACAATAGATCGCTCTGGAAATTCATGTCAATGGTAGCTGCCATCTGGAGGGGAGAGGAGGGAGGCCGGAGTGAGGCACGGTGCCCGCCCTGCGGCGGCCCGCAACCCTGGGCCCACCCGCGGAGGACGAGTGGGAGCCCCGCCCGAGCCCCCAACTCACCGCCTCCCGACGCCTCCGCTCCTGCTCCCGCTTGCGGGCCAGCTCCCTCTGCTGGTCCAGCACTGACTGGGGCTGGGAGCTCTGGGCTTGCGGGGCCGGTGGCGGCGGTGGCTCCTGGCGCTGCTGCTCCTGGCGGCGCCGGGCCTCCTCGTGGGCGCGCCGGGCCTGCTCCAGGGCGTCCTCGTCCTCTCGGCTCCTGGGAGGGCAGCGCCGGGTCAGCCTGCGGCCCATGGCCCGGCCCCCCATGCCCGCCCGGAGCCCCCCGACCTCATGCGCTCCTGTCGCAGCCGCTCCTTCTCCTTCTCTGCATGCTCGGCCTGCGCTTTCAGGGCCTTCTCCCGCTCTTCCTTCTCCCGGGCAGCCCGGCGGAACTGCTCGAAGCTGTCGCTCGATGACTTGGCTGTGGAGGACGGGGTGGTGGGGTGCTTCTGCACTAGGCTAGCCCAGGAGCCCATGTTCTTGATTTTTAGGTCCTGCGAGGCAGAGAGACCGTGGGGTACGTGAGAGGCCCAGGGCTCGGGAACAGGCCTACTAAG